TTCTGGTTCTCACTACAGATCAAGCATAGGGCAGAATATTTTTGAAGACATAACATGGAGAAAACATGATTTAACATACTGTGTGATGAAACACAATAATTATCTGTCAAGCAATAAATCACATGGCTGCACTTGTTTAAGAGCAGGTAAATACTGTAAATATATACAAGCATGAAAGCAGAATAATTAGTTGAAGTGGAAATGGTATCTTTGAAATTCACCAGATCTAGTGAAAGAAAAAATAAAAAGAAAAATTTGCTTTTGTTGTGACATAAATGTATTGTTACTGCCCTTTATATTTAATTGAATCAAGATCCTAACAGTATTTTCTTCAAGATAGAGCAAACGCAAATCCAAACAACAATCATACCATTTTCAGTGATATAAGCAACGCCTTTAAAAGCTCTTTTCCAACTTTAGAATTATAGTCTAAGAAACAACTCAAAATACTAAAGATATTTCCTGTATGTTTTATGACTCTAAACACAGACTCTTCTTACACTGAATTTTGTAAAGTTTCAACTGTGTTTCAGGAGACATTGCACTTTGAATAGACTCTCCTTAAAACTCAGTAAATAAGACTGTAGTTCTTAAAAAAATCCCTTACTGAAAATTCCTCTATATTTAAGGGAAATTTGCAAAAGGTAGTGAATACACTTTCTTGTAACTGAGTACACAATTCTTATCTGTAAAATAAGATGCTAAAACTACAGCAAATGCAGTTTGTGTTGATTTACCCTTTCCACTGAAGCTATAAAAAAAACCTGCAGAAATTATAACCTCCAACAATTAGTGGTTGTAATAGTCAAAGATCAAGCATTTACTAAGGACCTGACAGTAAATGCAAATTTTTTGCATCATTGACATGTTTCCTGTAGAACATTTCTAAACTCCAGGGGATAGTACAAAATAATTATGAACACAATTATTAGCATTTTATGAAAATTATAAAAAGTAGTTTCCAACAGAGACCAGTTTCTACTGCAATGAATACTGAATTCAGGTTTTCCAGGAAATTAATATATATATTATACGATGTCTCATGTTATCTATATACACTTGGAATAATCTATTGATGTAACATATGAGTTTAAAAATTCTTCAAAAATGTAAACTGCTATTATGGAAATATTTATATTTGTGAGTATTCAGACTGTAATGTTTATTGTATCATAAGTAATGCTCAAAACTCATTCTATGGGATTTTTTTTTTGGAATGTATGTAACTGAGTAACAGAGTAAAGCAGAGATCTTTCCAAAACAATGTAAAGGAATTTTTAAAGAAAGCCATTTTTTAATCTCAGTGAAAAAAAAATATCTCAAAATCTAAAAAATAACTGAAGAGCCCTTCTCTTGCAAAAAGAACTCAGATAATTCTAAATAATGATACTGATTTTCTCAAAAGTTTTCATGTTATATCCATAACATCAGAAATTTCAAACAATTGTTTCCAAATATTTAAAGCAATTAAGAAGGGGATGTAGAGTGAATATGTATAATATGGTAGTGCTGCTACTAAGATTCTCAAATGATATTCTCTTTCCTTCCAACCTTAAATATACAATGCAGTGATCAGTCACACTGTAATTGTTAAGGGTAGAAAAGTGGGAAATACTGTACCCATAATACAGATAAGGGGAGGAACCAGTGCTCCACCCCATCCAAGCTGAAGATAGGTTATCCTATATGAAATAGAAATATATAGCCTGTTATTAGTTGTGAATCTGTAATGACAGACACTTGATGCTGTATTTTATAACTCAATCATATGAGAAACTCTTTCTTTCTACTAATGAAGTTTGGAGTACTCTTGGAAATGTCTCATTCTCTCTTTCTTGGTAAGGGAATCTAAGGAATAGCCATTGAATTTTAGAGGATATCAAAGACATAAAATACTCTGATTTATTTTTACATGTTATGAAATTGGACTGGAAATTTGAAATACAGTAAATGTTTAAAGCCATCAGCCAGAAATATGCATAAGGCATGCAAAACTGAAAGTGCAAGTAGTTTTCAGATTGTTTGCTGCCTTCTACTATTTCTCTAATATATAAATCAAGCACGGCATGACATGCTTTATTTGTGAAATTAGACACAAATGCATGCTTTATTGTCACTTAATCATCTATCTTAGCAAAGCAATGTGTACTCAGTATTCTACGTTTACAAGTAGCATACCAATTCAGAACTAGCGCAAAAGCATTATATCGCAAGTACTAAAAAGCTAAACAAAAAGCAATGGGTATATTCAAATCTCATTTTGCAGATACTTCTGCTCGGTACATATACTAATTGAGATGAGAATATGAACCCTATGACAGAAATTTAAATTAAATTAAAACAATTATTTACTTTGCCTTCCAGCATCTGGGTGGAGTTGGTTTTGAGATTCACTGAAGGAAGTATTAAAATTTCTCAGACTGCAGTGTACTAGTAGATATTTTAAATGCCTTAATATGGCACCATTCACTTCTGTGCTTGAGGCAAGCACAGGCTGTGAGCCACTTGTAAGCTATTTTGTCACAAGAGATTCATAGATCTAATGTTCACTTTGCCAAGAGAATTTATCTATCCCACTTATGAAACAGCATAATTACAAATTTAAGTTGTAACCACAGAATATAACATGACTTAAAGAGTGAAGTATGTTTAATATTTCGAGATAACAAAATAGCTATTAGTATTTAATGACTGCAGAATGCTGCATTATGCCAATTCACCAGGATGTTAAGCTTATTTAAGAAAAAAATATCAATTTAAAGTAGCTTAGCTTGTTTTGGCAGCTTGTTTTCCAAAATTATACAAAGCTTCTTAAACATAAGCGTCCTATGAAATACATTTGATCTTATTTTCAAGGCAAATTTTACCTAATTTTGAAAATGGGGTAAAACATTAAAATTATAAATACATGCTGAAAAAAAACAAAAACCTCAGCTTGTAGGTCAGTGTATAAGCAGTATAAAAAAGCAAGGAGGGTTAAATTATTTTTACTTCCTGCTGGCAGATTTAAAAAAAAATAAATGCTTTAATGGATTTTTACAAAATGAACTCAATTTCTGAGACAACTGTAATTTCACATGGCTATAGCCTATAATGAGCTGGTCAATTATTTGTTATTTGAATCTTTTTACTGTTTGTGAGTCATTCATAAAGCTTATATCTATCAATGAGCTATTACTGTGAACACTTGCCAAACTCTTTGGAAAAAAAAACACACTTTCAGAAGTGCATGTAACTAATAGTGAAGATAAGGACTATGCATTTGACCAGTCAAATTTGCTAAGTGACTGGAATAAGGTACTTGATTGACTGTCATTAATATTGAAGCTATAACCTTTTTTGCTTTTCCAGGCTTCTCTGTGATTCCTACACAGTAAGTTACTCATTAATTATTCATCTTGTGTATCTGAAATTCCACCATATGATTGTGCTTCTGGCATAATTTCATATTTTTACAGTGAAAAATAAGGGAAAGCAGTAAACAGATTCCAAATAACAGGTACTTTTCTTAGACCATGAACATCCTAAATGTTTTAAATGGGAAATTTCCTAAGGCAATCGTAAGGATACATAAAAATGAAATAAAACATATGGCTATTAATTTTGACATTATCTTTCCAGTAATGATCTTTTTTCCCCACCCCCCCAACATCATCTAAGGAGCTACATTTCTTTTCCCCGTGTAACTTCTAAACTAATCTCCCAGTCCTCCTGCAGCTGAAAATAATAATATTAAGAAAATAAAGCTCAGAGCAATTTCCCAACGTTTGTCTGCACAAAAACACATTTATCTGAATGGTCATGAACAATAAGTACAAAGAAAGTCAAAGTGAAAACTGCTAAATGAAATAGTCTTTCTAAACCTAGGTGAAAACTCATACTCTGTAGTATTTGACCAGCTCTTACCCTGCTGAGTTATCAATTCACAAATTTCAAATGATGAGAAAACTGATAATAGTAAAACTGCAACATGAAATTGAAATTTATTAATCTAGCAATCATTGGTTAGCAGTATTTTATTTCTGATTCTTTATGAAGTAGACATATGTAGCCTGAGGAATACAATTTAAGAATTCAGAGATTTGACTTCCTTAAGCTTAGATTTGTATCTAAAGGCTGTTCAGACAGTATATTCTAGGCTATTTCAGTATTTTACAATTGACGTGAAATTCATTAGCATAAGATTTCTCTCATGTTTCCATGAAGTAGTGAAAAGCATTCTCTTAAAACATACTTCAATGACATGCATATAGAGTTAGTTTGTATTCAGTGGCTTTAAGGAAAAGAAAGCATAAACGGATGAAAAAAAAATTTAAAATGCTTCCTTGAGTGAGATGTATAGTAAGCAGGACCTCTAAATTACTTGGATTAAGTGTGAAATAACCTTATATATATTGTACTGAATTTGCCTTACAAAAAGACTAATTTCATAGAGAAATCAAATGGTTTTATTTGTTTTTATTTCAAAAGCCAGCCAAACTCAGAAATATATTTAAACAACTCGACTAGCTGATACGAATATAACTCTATTATGATCTAGTAAAATTCTGTGGGGTTAGACCAAAGTTGGTTTATCAGATATGAAGAAAAATGAAGAATTTCAACTGATAACAGAAAATAGCTTTATTAACTAAAGCTAAATTTGATCCTTGTATAAATATAATAATATGCTTATCAGTAAAAATTAATAAAAACCTGCTTCATTTTATTCCTTGTTAAGAGTCTATTGAGAGAGCTCATAGTCGGCAATTTCAAAGCATTAAACAGAAAACTCCTGAGATTGGCTAGAAAGTAAAGTAACTTTAATGAACATAACTTCTATGTGATACTGCATATGGATTTAGGTGAATTGATGAAGCTTTTTGCTTATCTGTTAGTAAAAGATATGCAATAGATAAAAAGGTAATGCAGCCTTTCTGCATGGACTTATCATTCCTTATTCTGCATGCATGGATCCTTTGTATGCATGCATAGTTTCAGATTCTTTCATTTTTTCTTACCCTCATGCCTTCAAATCGTGACAAAGCTCTTAGAGGTCTCAAAGCTCTTAGTGTCCTAAGGGACTTAATGGCACCAAGTTCAGAGTAACCCAATGCATTTGCTGTTAAGCTAACCAAAGAGACCTATATGAAAACAGGAAAGTAAAAATTATTATATTGTAAATACTACTTTACATACCATAGATGTGAGCTATAAACTCCTTTAGAAGAATCTAATTTTGGACCACTTTCTTCAGGAATACGAAGTCTTTTAAATTAAAAAAAAAAAAAAAAGTAATAAGAAAGAAGAGTATGACAGGTGAATAAATAAACAGAAGTACCATATGGTAACAGTTAGTTAATATCTGGAAACATTAATAATTAGGAATTTCATACTGCACTAATGATTTGAGGACATTTAAAACCACAAACACACACACACACAAAAATAAATTAATCTCTCCTTTTTACCAATTTAAGCATTTTTTTCCATTTTTCTCTGTTTTACAGTGCTGTTGGGATCAATAATTACTGTTGATAATGCCCATTTGTTTGCCCACAACTGGAAAGGAAATGATTGAAGCCTGTTTTGAATTAACAGATGGGTCACAGAGCAACATTGTTTGTCTGGAAATTGGTAGAAAGGATTAATTTTTTTATATTTGGTTATACTGAAAAAAACTTTTGGCTAAATACTGAATTTATGTACTTTCTACATTGACATTAACTTGGACAATCCTGGATTGTGCTGTTTCTGAAAATACATTACAAAAATATTTCCACAGGCAGCAGAACTAATAAAGTCTCATATCCATGTGCCTGTATATATTCTACGTCCCTGCATTTTGTCAATGAGAAATGCCATATTCTTCCTCCACATGCTATGGCTCCTGACCAATATAAGACCTTCAGTTTTCTTTCCATTTCCCCTGAATGCTCCTCCATTACTCTAATTCCTTAACTATTTATTGCACAAATAATAGTATAATGATCTCATATACTATTCTTCTCATCTTCTGATCTGTTCTTCTGACCTATTCTTCTGATCTTCTATGCTATACCTTCATTTTAAAATGAAAAATAAACTAGTTGGCATACATAGATATTATGTTCGTAGAACAAGTAATTAAAAACAAACAAATGAAAAACAAAACAAAACAAACAAACAAAAACCAAAATCAAACACCAGATAAAATTAATATAAAAGTAGCACAAAGGAAAAGCACTACATACATCAACAATCAGGAAGTCCAGCCAGCACCAAGCATTAGTAAAGTATGTTTGATAGCCATAGGCCACCCACTTCAGCAGCATTTCCAGAATGAAGATGTAAGTGAAGACCTTATCAGCATATTCCAGCATGGTCTTGATAGTTTTACGCTGTTCAATATATATATCTTCAAAAGCCTATGAGAAAAACATACTGGTTGTTCCCTTTTGTTGCCGTACAATTTAAGTTATAACAGAAACAACAAAGGTAGGGAAAAAAAAAAGGCAAACCTTTCTTCAAGAACAGGCATGTGATTTTCAGTTTTGTCTCAAGGTTCCTTTTCTGCTAACTGCATATATCTGTTCTTAGCCTATGGAACTATATTTTCTTCCTTACAGGATAGAGAAGCAGATATTACACAGCAACAACTTCTTCACTGAATAGAGATCTTTATTTATTCATTGCTGCTGGTCAATTATTATACTGAGATCATTTTCAGTACTTACAAATTTTTTTTGATTCTGCAAAGCGATGGAAGTGAACCGAATTATGCTGAGTAATTTATAATTTAGTTTGTATGTAGGTAGATCCATTTTCAAAATCCAAGGCCATAGCTGTAAAATTTTCAGTAAAATGACAATGCAGATGATCTTATGCTTTTAAGTCCTGTTAGTTTTTGAAAAATTTAAGCCATAAATCAGAAAACAAGTTATTATTTTCTTAAAAAAATATATCTAAATCAAATACCCTCTCTACTGTATTATTCACATATTATTAGATACATAAAATTTCTTATGATCCTTGCAAATTTATTTATATGTTTTGTGTGTCTTAATTTTTTTTTTAGAAGTTTGACAAATGACGTTCAAACATATAATGTCTGCTTTTCAGTAATTATTTCTGTCCTCTAATAAATTTTCCCTTTAATCACTTTTAAATTGTAATTATACTACTATTTCATATACGAGTTATTGGTTTTATTGGAGTGAAAGAGCTGGAATGATCTGTAAGCTTGCAAAGATTTGGGTATTTATCAATACTAACATTCATTTTTACCCAGTCTGATTTTGAAACACTTCTGTCAGTTCAAATGATTAGTGTTTCTCTACCAATCATTCAATTGGTATCTGTGTATCAGTAGTTTTGGATGCTCATGTACTTTGATACACTAGCAGCTTTAGCTCACAATATTGGGAAGAGTTGGCACGTACCAATTCCATTTCATGAATCAGACTATGCTAAAGGCTAAGCTTGTGGTGCATTTCTTCCTGCCTGCGTGTGCCTGCAGCTGGGCTTTGCAAGTATCCTGGAGCTTATGCCTGCCTGATTTTCCATCTGTAATGATAGCGAGACTTGTCTCAAGTGTGACCTTGGGATAAACGTTAGAATACAGTGTTGGCAGGTCTGAGGAGACCTTTTCTCTGTCACAAAGAGCTGTCTCACATCTCTAGGGTATTAAGCTAATGCCCTGATCTGTGTGGCATTCTCCCAAGGTAAACGTTCTATGGATGACATACACCTTAGTTTCAGGAGCATGAGGTGCTAAGTTGCATCTCATCCCAAACTTCCTCTAAACACAATGATGGAAATTGACCTTTAATCAGTCTCCTGCCACTATTTTTCTTTCATTTAAATTCATGTTGCTAAGGGTTTTCCCCAATCAGTATCATCAATACTGTAGATATGAGTCTATGAGTTTTTTTTTCCTGTGACACAGGAAACTTGTCACATCGTGTTGTGTAAAAGTTGCTTATTTGATTGTTATTTTGATATTAGACCAAAGACAAGCAGAATACTTACAGATTTAACCAAGTCTCATGATAGGCATAATGGTAAACTGCTAGCCATTAAGTGTATTTTAAAGATTTGGGAGTGGCCTAAAGAGTTTCTAATAGACTTTTGCAAAGTAATTTTGTTTAATGATGCAGAAACTTAGGTAATTTACTGAATGGTAATTACATTTACCTGCACAGATGCCAGATATGCTCTAGGAAATCTCAGGGCAAACAGTTTGCCTAAGAAACTTCAGTTCAGGCTCAACTAATCCAGGTTCAGCTTTATTTAATAGCTAATTTCAAATTTCTATATTCTTCATCATTATTTATATTTGTAAAATTATATATTATTTTGTTTTGTTGATGTTGTTTTTTTGGAATGGTTTTGTTTCTTTTTTCTTTTTTTGTTATAGACTTACATGATGGTTGGCTTCTCTTTATTTTGTCCCTATATGCTTGTTAAACTTACAGCATGGTGATTGGAAAATTTATGTTTTTAAAGATATCCCAGACATAAGTCTGTAAGAGGCTGAACTAGAAGCATAAACAATAAATTCTTATTCAAAGAGAGGACAGTTCTTTTCCTGAGATATATCAGTAAACACCAGTAAAACTAGAGGCAAACCCAAATAATGAAGTTAAATGTGTTTTCTTCACATGTTCTCCCTCTCCCACATTCAGACATATCACTTTCAGCAATGGAGTTAAGCCCTCTCTAATCGATTTTGTCTGTTATTTTTTGGACATTATTGAGAAGAGCCATTTTCAGCATTTTTTTTTTTGAAGTCCTGACTAAAATTTGGTGATCCTTTGAAGTCATGGAATTTTTCTGGAAGAGACAACTAAATAAAACAATGTTTTCTGACACAGTTATGACACTCTCTTCATGTTTTACTCACCAAAGCTCCACTACTGAGGAGAATCATAAAGACAATGAAAGTCTCAAACCAGTTGTGCTCAACAATCCTGAAGCAGGTCTTTCTAAGGTTCCACCACTGCTTTCCTCTCCCTTCTTCTACACTTACTTGACAGCACTTGAAACGCCGTACACAACCTTTAAAACAACGTATGTATTGAGAAAATGAGAAATTTTGTTGAATTTCATTAATTTTGACTGCACAGTGGTACAGCACTATATTTCCAGAAGATGTGTTATTTAGTAAAAACTCAATAGAGTTTCACCTAGATGATCTCTTTCCTCTCCAAAACAAGTAAATTTATTACTGAGATGACTGGAAATTACAAATCAATGAACAGATAAGAAAAAAGTATTTATCATTTATCAAGAACTAAGTGCTCAATACACTATGCACATAAAAATAAAAGTCCATTCAATATGAAGCCACATTACAGAATGCAATGTAAGAGATGAAAATATATTAACTCATTCAAGTTTAAGGTAAGTTTATGTAGTAGCATATGGGCAAGTGTTATTATATTGTACTTTCTATTGCTTGGGATATTAAATTCACTATCCATATGTTAAATTTTGGTCTAAAAGTATTACTGCTTCTAATCATTGTTTAAACAATGACAAAAGAGTAAATAATTAAACACAAATATTAATAATTATTTTTATTATTATTATATTTTTTCATCCCAAACACCTTCAGTGAAGCAAGCCTCTGGCTCCATAGCTTCCTCAGGTTCAGCTTCTGGTTGCTCTTCTGCAGGGAGTCCAATGTCAACTGTGCTACCTTCAGATGAACTGGACATATTTAGCTTCTGTAAAGAAAAAAAAAAAAAAGGATCACAAACGCACAGTAAGTGTTTTAACGCAAATATGAGTAGTCCTCAGAAAAAATAAATAGTTCTGCTTTTGTTATGGTATTCAGTGTAAGTGAATTGCTGATCAACTCATGTTAACTTTGTACTTAAAAAAAAATTTCCTCTTGCTTTGTATGGATACATTAAATAGAAACTGTATCACTGATAAATAATATTCAAAGAAAATTAAGTTTCAAACTAAAAAGTATGAATGATGGCTCTAAGCCTTCAAGGACTTACGTGTATGACCACAGCTAACCATAAGTGGCAATGATCTGTTGGATAGATTTAATAAAGCTTAAATATATCTGCAGCAATCTGCAGTCTCTACTGAAAAGCAGGTAAGAGCTTAAATATACTATCTAAATAAGGTTGGAGCTCAAAGGAATGGGGGAAAAAAGCACAGAAAAAGTTGTATTTTAGTGGTCAGCAAGTCCAGATTAAAAGTACTAGAAATCTAGCTCACTTACAGGGAAGCAGAAACTGCATTTGTTTAGGCTGAGTCAGATTAAGGATGGCCTATAAAATGACAAAGTATGTTTTATAATCTAATCTAATTTTCAGTAACATGATGAGCATTATCTTGACAAATTAGAGGGCTGGACAAACACCAATCATATTAAGTTTACAAGAGCAAGTGCCAGATTGTGCACTGGGACAGGATAACCCTGCATATACGTACAGACTCAGGGACAAGATGCTGGAGAGCAGCCCCATGGAAAGGGATGTGGAGGTTTTGCTTAATGACAAGTTGAATGGTCGGCAGCCAAAAGGGCCAGTTGTACCCTGGGGTGCATCAGGCCCAGCACTGTAAGCTGACTGAGGGAAGGGATTGTCCTGTCGTTCTCTATGCTGCTGTGGCCTCACCTCCAGTCCTGTGTGCAGTTTTGGGCACCACATTATAAAAAGGACATGAAACTATTAAATGGTGTTCAAAGGAGAGCAACGAAGATCAGCAAAGAGTCTAGAGCAACAAAGATTCTAGAGGGGAAGATGTATAAATGGTTGAAGTCCCTTGTTTTTTTCAGCCCAGAGCAGAGCCGGCTCAGGGGAGGCCTCATGGTGGCCTGCAGCTCCCTCACAAGGGAGCTGAGCCCTGCTCTCTGGGGACAGCGACAGGACCTGAGGGAATGGCATGGAGCTGGGACAGGGGAGGGTCAGGATGGGTGTTAGGAAAAGTTTCTTCACTGTGAGGGTGGTCATGCACTGGACCAGGCTGACCAGGGCAGTGGTCACGGCACTGAGCCTAACGGCATTCAAAGAGTCTTTTTTTTTTTTTTCTAGGCAAAGAAATCAATGTGAATTTCAATAAAATGTGGCAAAACTGCTACATTTGAAATTCTTAGTTCAAGCTGAGGTGATGCACATTTGTATAAAACATATAAAATTAATACAAAATTGGCAAAAGGGAGCTATTAAGATGGAGGAAAGTTAATGACAAAGTTCTTCACAGATGAATTGGGATTAACGTTAATTTTTTCCCTGCTGACTTGTGGCATCTTTGGAGGAAATGAAATATGCTGATGCAAAGTTAGGAGGCCTGATCAGTTGACTGATTTGAAACTGGGACAAGGAAAGAGAAGGTCTATAATGGGGATGAAAAACAATATAAGTTGTAATAATTAAGACATTGACTTAATCTTGCAAAGCAGTGTAATAGTAGATTTACTGTCCTTACCTTACAAACTCACTCCAGTTTAAAAACTAAGCTCTTTGAAATTAATGGTGTGATTTATACTTTTAAGATAATTAAGTTGTTAGTTTGCTAAAGAAAAAGAGGATACACAGCTGGAGGGAAAAGGAAGGAGGGAAGGAAGGAGGGAAGGAAGAGACAAGCTTTTAGGGCTAATTCAGTCAGGAAAAAGGGATCCTGGCCAGCACTCTAAAACTCCAGGAATGGTGCTGAAGAACTCAATATGTTCTGAAGCCAGTTGGAACTCCTCTGATTGTTCCCACTGGCCTTGGAAGTGCATATAGTCTTTTCTAAGTGGGCTCTCATCTAAAACTCAGCTAATTCAAAGGCTGCCAAAGAAAGCTGTTCTAGTGTTCATCTCTTTTACAGTTCTTTTTTTACTAACAGTCAATATAAAATAAGGAGTTGGACTCAAATCCAAAACAGAGATGCTGAATGTTCTTCCCAAAGAAGACTATATAACAGAGTTGTTCTTTCATAATTTTCTGTGGGAAAAATCAGAAATTTCATGGTGCTTTCTCAAAGGAATGAAAGATAAGGCTGGTCCTACAGGCAGCATTCCCTCTACTTCTCTTTCTATCTTGCAAGGGGATGATTAGGTAGTACAGTTACCTAAAGCTTTCCTGACCTGAGTGTATTCACCATTGATCAGTCATAAAACAGCTTGTGTTCCTTCATTTGACCATCTACCCTCTGATGGTTTGGAAGACTGGACCAGCCAGCATTAAGGCAGTTATGGGGAGAGTAGATGACCAGTGGTCATTTTTCTCCAATGAGTCTTTGCTTAAATTTTGTTCTATTTAGAAATTCTTTCAGCTGGGGCAAGTTCTGGATAGTGTGCTCAAAGAAATTTGTATAACATCTATTGTGGCAGCAATTCAAAAGCTTGAATCAAAGTCTATTATGTCCAATAGGACATTTTAGAAAATATTTAATAGGAAAAGAAATATTAATGCTTCAGATATTCAATGGGAAATTGGAACAATGCTCTGAAATAGGTTCCCAAGGGAAGAGGTGGTTTTGTACTAGTCTGCTTTCTTAGAGAGGATCCAAGGATAGTTCTTAGTTAGCAATAGATTTTTGTAGGGAACACTAGAGAGGTTAGGTACACCAAAGTGACAGCAGCATAAAACTCAGCTAGCCTAAAACTGAGTGTCTGAAGTACTACAGTGTTGAAGCAATACAACAGTGTCTGGTATCCCACAAAAAAACAGGATTGCTAACTGAATGGAAGTTAGCTTAAGGTTCCTTAAGGAAGTTAGTTTAAGGTTCCTGAAGTAAGAAAGTTATTCTTCTTAAATGTCTGGAAAGATAATTTTCTGTTTTGACTAAAATATCAGCACTTGAATTTGCCGAGGGTGTAGTTGTTTTGCAAATTATGTTAGCATATCAATGGAAATTATTTTGTTAAAATAGCCCCAAAGAAGTCATGTAAAAGAATGGTTACATCTGTAATATGTTTTTTTTTTTTTTTTTTTTTTTTTTTTTAAATACAGATCTCAACAAAGTTTTATCTCTCTAGCCTGCTTTGACATTCCATTAGGAACATAAGATGTTTTAGTCTGCTGATACCACTTTTCAGTCTTAACAACTAAGGGGATTTGAAGTATATTGAAATGTCTATGGTTGAATCTTTTATTGCAATCTTTTTATTGGTCTAAAGAGTTGACAATTATAAAATCTAAATTCCATTGTCTAAAGGAAAGAGTAGTCTAGCTATTTTTATGTTTTCTGTTTTATTCCTGCTCACAAAACAAACAAACAAACAAAAAAACCACAAACACATAGAGGAGCATTTTTTTTTGAGTGGCAGAGAGAATGTGCATGTTACTTCTAATGGGATCCTTGTTACAGGGTGCAAACAAAAGTTTCTGGTGGAATAAGCATGCAGCTAAGGCAATACCCTGATCTACCAGTTGTTGCAATTACAAAATACAGGCCATAAGGAGTCTTTATGGATTGCTTTGGTCCCTCATTCCCTGACATCCTATCTTCTCTTGGAACTACTGTAATTTTTTAACCCTCTCATTAATAAAGAATTAAAGCCTCCTTTATACACTTCTGCTTTTGTACAAAGAAGCAACAAAATAACAAATGATGAATACACTTTTTTTTTTTTTCCTGAAAAAAATAAAAACATGCAAAATATCACAGAGAAATGCACAAAGTATCTACATACCTCTTTGCTTTCTTCCAGGTCTGATTCACTACTAAATTCCTCTGTATTTAAATTTTCAAAGTCAGATTCACCCACAGCAATGGGCACTGTCACAGTCAGGCTTGGGTTGTTTATGAACGACATGTAATCACTTTCGTCAATTATGTATTTTTCCACACTGCTGCCTGTGCCTATGCCACTAGTTGTTCCATTTGCATCTTTAATATAGTCATGGTCCTTGCTTAGTTCGACAGTTGTATGGTTGGAAACACAACTATTTTTGTTGTTCAAATCTTCAAGTGGTTTGATTTCATCTAAAGCTTTTTGCTTTTTAACAAAAGCTTTTTGGATGAATTCGCGTGCTTTTCTTTTCACATAATCTATGCCCTTCTGCATTCTTGCAACAGCAATTTGGAGATTATTCATTTCATTATCATCATCTGTCACAGCAAGGTTGTCTGCACTAAAAGAGCTCAATAGCAAGGCCAAAAATAGGTTCAGTACCTGCAGAAAAATAAGAAAGGACATTCTAGAGTTTATCCCAACAAAGAACATGTACTTTATTAAAAAGAAATAAAAAGGCTCATATTAGTGACATTGAAGACTGATGTCACAATAATTCCCCATAACCAAATAAAAGCACCTTCAAAACTATTTATATTCTCTGTGGAAAACTAAGTGTTTTGTTTTGTTTGTTTGTTTGTTTTGTTTGGGTTCTGTTCACTATTCAAAAATATTACTACAACCGACTAATATCTGTAAATGTGTCTTTACATCCAGATAGTAAAAAAACATTTTGATGGAAAACCCTTACAACCCAAAAGTGGAGATAACAAACTTGCTATTCAGCATATATATATAGATATATACATATATTTTTTAATTAACTTATTCCATCACACAGCAGAAATTAGATTTAGGTGACTAATCATATGTGATAAATAATAATAATAATAATAAAATACAGCAAATGGTTTATAAAGAGACCATAATCTAAATTTATTTGAAGCAGAAAATATTTACAAAAAAGCCAAAAGACAGATTAAGAGGTGACTAAGTGCTCACTCTAACATTACGTCTTAGACTTTTGATGTTGTAAGTTGCAGAATACTTTGTTCTCAATCCAGAAAAGCTCTTAAAATTAACTTTAAGCATCACTTGAAACCACCTCCTTAAGTGTTTTGTTGAAGCAGAGCCAGAGCACTTAGTTCACTTCAGAATTGAACACGCTGTTGCTGAATAATTTTTTGTTAATGTTTTGATTACGTACCACTAGGTTTCCAATCACCATGACCATCATGAAGACAGTAAGGCACATGGCTTGGCCAGCGACCTCCATGCAGTCCCACATTGTTTCTATCCATTCTCCACACAGTACTCGAAATACAATCAAAAAAGAGTGAAAAAAATCTTGCATGTGCCAGCGTGGAAGTACACAGTCACTTGCGATTTTGCAGACACATTCCTTGTAGTTTTTCCCAAACAGCTGCATCCCAACCACAGCAAAAATGAACACAATGATGGCCAGCACCAGGGTCAAATTCCCCAAAGCCCCTACCGAGTTGCCAATAATTTTTATCAGCATATTTAGTGTTGGCCAAGATTTTGCTAATTTGAAAACTCGTAACTGGAAGGAAAAAAAAGAAAAAGAAAAAGAAAAAAAAAGAATGTTAGGATGAGTAAGAAAGACACAAAGATATTTAAAAGATAATTTACGGAAAGATATTACTGCAAAATATGCCTTGAGTATGACTGTTGATAGGTTATCCTCTTTTCTAAATGTGTGATGATAGAAGGGTCAGTCACAAATTTTGCAAAGTTAGAGCTGGATATCCTCAAAGCATAGTTTTTATCCAAGGCTCAAGAAATTACCAACCAAAGTGAATTTAAAATCTGTTGCTTATCTCCTAAAATCAACTAGGCTGTTTTTCTACAAGTATTTGCAGAGTAGATCTTTTCCCGTGATGTTAATCAGAGCACAACACATCTATCTAGTGAATCTATTTGTTTCTGCATAGCAGGATATTTAAAATATGTATATATAATAAATAAATTGGAATTAGGCTTAGACACCCATTGCTATCTGTCTTGATCTCTATAAATTCCCACTGAGGACAGTAAGATACTACGACTAATACGGATTTGTAATAATGAAAGAAACTTAAGGCTTAGTGTCATGGCAAGCTGTGCACATTTTTAAGGAAAAAAAATAATGAAACCCCATTGAAAAATCAGTGCAATTGATGTATATTTACCAATCTGAATGATCGAAGAACTGAGAGTCCTTCCACATCTGCAAGACCAAGTTCAACCAAGCTAAGGGTTACAATAAAACCATCAAAAATATTCCAGCCTTCCTGGAAATAATAGTAAGGATCCATTGCAATTATCTTGAGAAACATTTCTGCTGTGAAGATTCCAGTGAAAACCTGAATTCAGAATGCAGTTGGTTATTTTTTTTGTGAAATATAATATTACAGGTTTAGCTGATGTTTGAGCTACCTCACTGCAATTAGCCTCATCCAAAACTGATACTTAAAAATGGTTCCCTGTAGTGATTTATTATGACCACCTTACCTTAAAAAAGGCCATACAAACCAAGTAATTTTTTTTCAATTAATTGAATTCTACACTGAAGAAATTACATAAACTTCTGTTTTATAACATTTCGAATCCAATTTCAACTCTGTCAGGATATGGACTTTCTCAAGGATATCATTTGTACTGCACAAACAATATCCCTAATTTGATTTTCACGACATAAACCAGAATGCTTTCCAAGAAATTACATGGCATAACATCATTTTTAGTATACTAATTACATTATACAGCAGCATGAATGAGGCCAAATCTGACTCCTGACAGAGCTCCACTGCTCCTCCAGCCTGCAAGAATCCCATTCAGTTCAATACAGATTATTAATAACAGCTGGGAATCAGCTGAGATACAACAACTTGAAAAAGCTGAGAAACTTCTACATAGGTGTTGCCAGTAAGTTTAGTGAAGCTCGTTGGCTCAATCACTTTAATGTCAGAAATAAAATAACATTTAAGAGTACATTTTAAACATAATATTCCTGGTAATTGTATCTTATTGTGAAATGAAATATTCTGAATGAAGCAGAAATCATATTTAGGTGTTGCTAAAGTAGCAACTCTGAGCAGCTTTGAGAGAGAGCTGTTGAGATTATGAGTATTAGAAAAAAAAATCCTATACAAAAGGAAAGTACTGAAGCCACTTTTAAAGGCTGGCTGAACCCTGGTCTGAAATGCTTCTTTCTCCTCTCCTCTTGTTTTTGATAATCCATTTTCAGGAAGGCTGAATAGAAAGTGGAGCAGTTAAAGAGAATATAATCTAACTGGGATAATCATGAGATGGACCAGATTCTGACTTGCTCTGGTTCTTAATCATCAGGATGGTGAGGTTCTCCCCACATGGAGTACTGCATTCAGCTCTGGGGCTGCCAGTCTAAGAAGAACATGAACCTGTTGGAACAAGTCCATAGGAGGAGCACAAGACTGACCGGAGGTTTGGAGCACCTCTCCTGGGGAGACAGGCTGAGGGGGCTGTGGTTGTTCGACCTCAAGAAAAGAAGGTACTGGAAAGGTTTTTATAGTGGCCTTCAAGTACACCTAAAAGGGTACTACAGGAAAGCTGGGGAGGGACTATTTTTCAGGGCGTGTATTGATAGGAAACTCTCTTTGTAGTCTGATATTCACAAAAATTTTATATATATATATATATATATATATATATATATATATATATATATATATTTGTTTGTTTGGAAAAAGACTATAACTTGCTTCAACACAAGATTTTTCATTTTACTAGCGAACTCATATCCCATATTTTAAATACAGGAAAACCAGCTATATGTTTGTCTGTTAATTCTCCTATCTGAATCCTGTAGTTATTTACATGATCTGAGTTATTTTTTCTTCATTACAAAACAAGGATTATTAAAAATCACGTTGTAAGAAATCCATTCTTAAAATAAGAGAATAAGTAGGACTACAGCTGCAGATGCTTTGCTGTGATCAAACCTCTCAGTTCAAAAGCATCAGAGCTACAGAAAATTAACTCCTGAATTCTTTAATAATTTATCTTTTTGAAGTAGAAGAGAGAAAATATAGTTGACAACATGACAAAAAGATATCTTACTAATTATCTGATTCTAAAAAATGTAAAGACTATGAGAGGAAAAAGTGCTGTGGGATATTTTTCATAGTTTTGCATAAAACATATAAAGAAACCAATCCGCATATCCACATAAAAAGTCATGTAGCCTGGAAAATTCTAGAAATGCCTTTAAATGGCTCTTCTAGTGATTGTAGACCTGTACTCAGGAAACAGAGTAACAAGAGGAAAGCAATTAAAAACACATTCATAATTTACACTTTTGTATTGTATTGATTGAAAATGAAACACTACATTTATTTCCATGGTGTCCTTTTCATGGAAGTAATGCATTTCCTGGTTTAGTAGTTAGATAAATCAACTTCTATTTAATATAGACTTTACTTAATGTAGCATTGGGGCCCCTTTTTAAATATTTAATCTGGTTTTGCGGAACGCTGGAAAATATTGATTTTACAGAATCCTAAATTACATGACCCAGGATTGACAGTGAAATTTACAAAAATGTTGTATTTTATCTGGAGAGCAATAGATGGACATTAAATTCACTTTCTAAAGAGGTTAAAAACAACAACAGCAATAACACAACAAACTTAAACTCCTTTCAGTTATTTCAGACATACTTTCTTTAAAATTATAAACATAAAAAGACAATAGACTTACCAGATTTCCAACTGAAAGTACATTATTGAATTCATCAGTCATCGGATAATGTTCCATGGCCATAAAAAGTGTATTTAAAACAATGCAAATAGTAATCGCCAAGTCAACAAATGGATCCATTACCACTAAGTTGACGATATGCTTTACTTTTAACCAATGTGGACTGCAGTCCCAGATCAAGAAAATATTTGCAAATTTATACCAACATGGTGGGCATTTCTGCCTTGATTCTTCAAGTTCTGTGGGAAATCAAAGTTCACAAAAAAATTCAAAGTTCACAGCAGTAGGTATGTGACTGCTCTAACCTATATCTCAAGCCTACATTACTTGTATCAGTCAAGTTAATTACCACCTGTAATGTTATCAATTAACCCCCTATAAGCACAAATTCTCTATATTTCAATCACTATTCACATCAGTAGCAATTTATGTATTATGTATTCTATTGTTCCTTGATTCAGACTGTTCCTCAAACTTGCTGTTCAATTATGTAAATATTTTACTTTCAAAACTGTGGTAGTAAGGTAAAATTTTTCAACATAATTTTTATTCCTAGTTCAAGACAAAAAACAAAACCGAAAACTTTTTTATCACCTGTAGTAGCACTTCTTTAGAGTAATTGAATAAATACAACTGCTAAAATATGCATATATTTTAGCAATAGTAACATATATATGAATAATGTTCAGTGGTCTTTTTGTGTCCAACAATTCTTTAATTAATATGAGTAAGCATCCTCTTAGTTACGACCATCAGACACAACGCTGTAGTCCTAATGACCACAAGGTATTTGATGGCAAAACAGTGAACTATAAATGCTTATTTGTGTAATAAACTCAATGTATGTAGAGCTTTGATAAATATTTGTTGGTTTGTGGAACAGTATCTATTCATTGAGATATTTTAAATAATTCTTAATGTTTCAACTCATATTTTCAGATGTTTATTGAAAAAAACAGGTATTAAGCTATGAGTAGTACACACCTTCCACTGTGTTTGTAAGAATGCTAGCAATGCTCATTGCTCTTTCTCTTAAAGCTGGATCTTCCAGAAAGTCCATAGAAACATGGAAAGAGCCTGATATTCTTTTCCTTATTTCAGTTTCTGTAGTGGTGCCCTACAAATAAAAAAAAATAAGTCAGACCATGTTTCAGTAATAAAATAAGTACATATTGTATAAAACCCTATCATTAATATGCATGTATGCGTGCTTCGTGCACTTCAATTTTTATAATGTCAGACTTTTCTTACTTTTTAGTATGTTAAAAATAATTAAAAATATATATTAGGCAATAGTTACCTACTGCTCAAGAGTTAGCAAGAGTTTATTCACGTAACTTTTGCATTTCTTTCCTTTGAGCTTTGAAAAATTGTTTAAACAAATGGAAAAGGACTGAATTCAAAAGATTGTATAAAATTTTTGCAAACTGTTTTTTTTCCTTGCTCTTGCTGACAGATTCAGTTTCCTATAACATACTAGTCTTTTACACTAGACAAACTGTAGCAAGAAAAGTATGACTTCCTCATGCTTCCTCATGCTATTATATTTCTAATCAATGTTAGTAGACAATTTTGAACTAAGCAAGACATTTTAGAGACCTCTTCTCTTACCTGCATGTATATACACAGTGACAGCAATATGTGCTGCTCATATGTTCACACAGACACTTTTTTTTTGTACTGTGTGTAGAAATGTGATTTTCCAATGAGCTACTTGTTGTCTAAACTACTGAACTCCACCAGCAAAGGATGGAAATATACAAGAATGAATGATAGTAAAGAATTGACTACTTTCTTATATTTTAGTGGGGCTGATACAGAAGCATGTTATCAAAATTAACTGATAATGCTAATTTTGATAAAGTGGTAGTAGCAGTGTCATATTTATTGTAGACATATGATAGCATTTTTGTGTACAATTTTCAGTTGTATAGTAACTTTGATTTTGTGGACTATAGCCATAGACCTTTATTGCAGCAAAAATAAAGTATAGCACAGTAATGTAGTATAGTGCTTTTGTGAATGTGCAAGTTAATATTTCAGTGTGTGAAAACTGCAAATAGCATTTGTTAGTTATGAGAATATTAGTAAGAAAAAAAAAAAAAAAAGAAAAAAGCTTGAGTTGCAAACCTATCTTATCTGTTTTACTTATTAAAGATTTTACAAGATGCAGGAGCATTCACAGCTTGACCAACCAGGAAGCATTGCCAAGGATTCCATTCTGTAGATAACACTGGCTGGTGCAGTAAGAAAAAGCCATGATGCCTAAGCTATTTAAAACTTTCTTACATTGTCATCAGTAGCTGGTTTATCTATTATCACCTCTGGCAGAAGCTGTCCAACAGGCGATGTAGGAACAGATGGTCCACCAACCAGGGAAACCACCCCATTGCAATCCACTGTGCTGTGCATCTTCCCGTTCACTGGAAACACTGCCAGCATCCTGGATGACCTACTGGCCTGACTAATGTTACTGTTGCGCCGTTCACCGTGTCTGCGCGGCACAAAGAGAGAATCTCTTCTGCTATCGTTGTCTTCAAAAGTGCTGTGCTCATCATCAGCAAAGTCATTTTCTGATCCTATATCCTTTGCTCTACCTCTGAAGCTGAAAAGACTTGTTCTGCTGTTGCGCCTTGGAGAAAACAGGGAGCCGCGAATGCTCAGCAAAGACTGCAGGCAAACAAAATTTATAATTATTAGCTGAAATCTTCAAACTTAGCATTGCTATTAGTATCACATAGGTTTTTTGTTTTGTTTAAAATGTTTTCCATAAGATAAATGCTGCTGTGAAACATCTGTATGTATTTCATCATATAATTTTCATTATATTTTATATACCTCTCTGCTCATGGATTGTTAAGACAAAAACAGTTTTGATCACTCCTTCCTCTTAATGTTATTAATGTCCTTAAAGTTACTGAGTAGTTGCACAATACCCATCAAGCAAAAAGTAAAAATATGAACATGTTTCTTTATATGCAGCAACCTTCACATATTAAACCAAACTCAAGCATCATTAAAGCACGAGGAAAAGGTGAGGCTATCATAATGAAAAAACACTGTTAACGTTTAATAAGCATAGATATAATAGGTATAATCACTCTAAAAAAAAAAAAAAACCCACAGAATCAACTAGTGAATATTTTAATATGATTTTTGAATAATGCTTTTACAAGAGTAGGGATATGAAGATGAAGTTACATTTCATTCTTTTTTTTTTTTTTTTTTTTTTTTTAAGTTGGCCTAGCAGCTACTGCACTTTCAGTCAGACACTGAAAACAATACTAAAATTTAATGAAAATCTCAATGTTTCCCTTCTTTAAGCAGTAGGGTCATATTACTATACCAGGAAAACTAAAGTAGTTGTGTAACAGCCTGTGACACTTTAAAGATATGCTGCTACTAAAAATATCTATATGCAGTACCTGATGTGGAGAAGAGTATTTCTTTTCATATGTCAGTCTATTGCCTTCAATAGATAATCGGAAACCTTTCCTTCTTATGCTGTCTTCCGATTCAGACTTGTGAAATTCATCTTCTTCTTTTTCCTCTCCTCCAGATTGTTCTTTCTGTTTTCTTTTTTTCCTTCTATTTCTTCTCTCTTTCGCACTCTTTGAGCTCAATTTGGATGCCTCTGAGGAACTTTCTGAGAGCCCACCAGCTCCTTCTGCAGCACTGGGCTCCCTGGACTCGGCAGATGCTGTTACTGCTGCTGCTGCCACTGCTGCTGCCTGCCACATTGCAGAATTAATTTGTGTCATTGAGCAAATCAAGACAGTCTTTAAAATTTTACTTATATGGAATTTTTAGTCCAACTCCCTTAAGTCTTTTCATATAATATTCTAAAAATATGGTCATAGCCTTTGGTGCTAGCCTTCCTGCACCTTTTGTGAATAGCTTTAAAATGCAGAAGTCTAATACACTGTATTGATGACGTCAGACTAAATAAAAACATAATGAACAACGTATTCCTAGTTTTGAATATTTCTTCTTGATTATGCCTCAACTGTTTTCAGTAAAAAGCCTTTATTTTGGAAGAGAAAATCTCTGAGCTAACTCTGATGTTGAATGCCCAGCAGGGCAGTTTCTGTCTCCAAATTCAGAAAACAGGGGTTCAATATCTCTAGAAAATTTTCTTTAATATTCTTTTTTATTGTACCATAAGGTATACCTGAGCCGCTTCTTGTTGCTTTTTTAGCTGTTCCAGCATCTGTTGAAATTCTGCCTCTTTCTGTTCTGCTTCTTCCATGGTTGCTTGATTCTGCTCTTCATAGGCCATGGCAACCACAGCCAGAATCAAATTAATCAGATAGAATGAGCCCAGAAAAATCACCAGAACAAAAAATATCATGTATGTTTTCCCAGCAGCACGTAGAGTCTGGAAGTAGGAATACATTTATAAGCAAGAACAAGTTAACAACAGTTCTGTTCTTCACACTGTGAAAATTAAGCTAATATAAGATACTTGGTTTTCTTGCATTACTGCTGCAAACATATTTAGTCTATTATCCATAAAAAAATTCTCACCAGTTGATAAAGATTTTCCCAGAAGTCTTGGGTCATCAGGCGAAACAGTGACAAGAAAGCCCAGCTGAAGGTGTCAAAACTTGTGTAGCCATAATTGGGGTTTCTACCAGCTTTCACACATGTATACCCTTCTGGGCACTGCCTGCAAAGACAAACTGGGTGTTACCTTACATAGGTATTTTGGTATTATCATTTGGAATGTCCAGAAGAAGATTAGGATTAAAAAGTGAATTGTTCTTGTATAGTGGATCAGACTATATATATCATAGAATTTGTAACTTTTAATTGAAAATTATTTTAAAGGATACTAGAAAAATTAAGTGGGAGAAGCACATAAAACCAAACCAAAGCAAAACCCTACTGCGAAAAGTTCAAGCTTCTAAAACATAGTCCAAATAATTGATTCTTAATGTTGTAACTAATGTCACTACTTTCTACTGTTCTTGAACCTGTTAGTACTCCTATGTGCAACTGGAGCTGGAAAATAGCATGTTTTCTAGCTGTGGTATCTGTTACTTTACATACTGGCAGGAGATACACTAATACCAGATTTCTGATTCAGCTATGCAAATACTAACATCATTAACTAATCCAGCGAGGTCAATGAAATCCACTGATTCCATTGCAATTGGAGATCCAAATCCACAGTCTGGTGTAAAAATCAAATATTACTTCTTATGTGAAAGAATGTAATCACTCAAAATATAACGCTCCCGCATCCCACCATGCACATCTGAAGACTGAACACTTAACTTGGACACTGTGAAATAATACTGTGAAATATGGTCTTACCCAGCATCAGAGCTATTTCCACAAAGCAGAGCATCATTTTGCCCTTCCAGAAAATAAAAATGACCTGTTTAGAAAAGAATTTCAAAAAAATTATTATTATTATTATTTTTAACTACAGCTCCCTGAAATAAATAATCCAGATCTAAAGGCATTAAGGTGATTTCAGATGCAATTTTAAACATCTCATATTATTTTTTTCAGCAGGATTGTAACTTCAGAGTAAATGCCACTATGAATTGTAGTAAGTGCCATCTCTCAAAGCCTTCTGTTAAAATGCCAAAATGTACCAAAAATCCTGACAAGTGCTGCTGTGTGAAGGTGATATGCACTGTTCTCCTTTCAGACTGATCACTGAACTAAGTCACACTTTGTGAAATCATACTTTACATTTATTTATTACAATAATTAAATTGTACTTGAAAAAAAAAAGTCACTGATAATTTATTTTAAGGAGGGAAGCTTTCTGATCAACATTGCCAAGGGTTCCAGTTTGTCACTTACAAATGCTTGTGACAGTTATGTGAGTTCTGTAAAAAACCACATGGCTGCCAATGGCTCCAACTGTTACAGGTGCTTACACACTGCAATTAGCTTGCTGACTGGTATGAGGGCTCTGGTACGCATCTAAACTGAGTAATAGCAACAGTCACTGACTTGTGCAAGAAGGGTTTTAGGAGTATATGATGTGATTATTGATCACCTTAGTAAAGAGAAATTGGATATGTTCTACCAAATCACCCAGTAGCTAACCAGCCCATAAACTGTATAGTAATCCTGTATTTTTTTGAGAGACTTTTTGGATGGTTTAGGAAACAACATCAACCTGTCCATTTTTAGAAGAATAAAGAGATGGTAGGAAAAAAAGTTTTATATATTAATATGTATTTTCACTGTATCCTTGAATTTGTCCTTTTCCTCTCAAAGCAGACTTCTACAGTAGCTAAGCTCTTTATTTCAAAATACTCATCACAGAAGGAACTTCCTCCTGTAGCAAAGCTTCCCATTTAGCCACAGGCAGGACACAATTTGTCCAGTCAGAACACATAGCCCAGTGTCCCATTTCTAGCACAGACCAGAAGTGCTGCCTGAAGAAGTCTGCAATCACAGGCCAGAGACATAGTGCTACTCCCCTGAGCACCCTCCCAGCTTCCTTCCAGTGCTTCTGAAACGTGGCTGCTTCGGAGTTAGGGTGTTTCCTTTTTTGCTTTGTAAGGAAATTTTAAACCCCTATTGGATTTCTGCTCCATTGAATTGGCCTGCTAGTCTCCCTTAAACTGATCTCATCTGAAATGCTGTTGGTGTAGCTGAGCTTTGATTTGGATGTGGCTTCACATGCTGTGCTGCTGAAGCACGGTCACTACAGAAGCTAATGAGTGCTGGGTGTGAAGAGGTGTCACAAGTCACTGGCTCAGCATGGTGGTTTGCTGCAGGAGGTACACCATACCCAGGCCAGCTGCATCTCTTATCTTTCTCATCCTGTTAGCAAAATTCACCATTTGGGCAAGTTAGGTTTTTCAGCTGCACGTAGATTTTGTTTGACAGTCTGTGAAGGACTCAGTTTCAGTATCCAATCATGCATACAGGGTACAATCTTCTGTGCTGCGCAAAGTACAAAACCCTGTGTGCTGTTGCTGTCATGCTGGGCTGGTATGCTTTGCAGAACTGCAGTGTGCTGAAACCCAGCTGTAAACAGCAAAGTTAGCTGACTTGATGCTGTCCACAGCTGACCCATATGAAAGAAACCTTATTCTGCATGATGTCAGCTAATCATGATTAAAACATGCTGGAACGTAACAGCTGGTTGGGAATAATGCAAACCTGACTGCATTATATGTGGGGCAATCAGTCACAATCAGCACTGCTGCAGCTGAGCTGAACTGCTGAAATAGGGCTTGTGTTAAAGTTCTGAGGTTTATCCAAGATATGCCATGGAGCATGGTGGTCTTGCCAGCTCCACAGGCAATAGCCACACAGGCTTTCTCTGAATACTCTGGTACAACCATGTTTAGCAGGATGGCAGATACAAATGTTCAAAATAGCACAACAGGAAATTTTTTTAAAACAACTCAATCTGAATGGCATAAGCCCCTAATAGATGCAAAATTCAGAAAGGTATTTTGCCAATGTAATGTGAGAAGTTTATCACTAAATTCAAGACATATGGTTGGCTTCATTTTCTTCGACTGGGAAATATGAAAAAATCCCTTATGGGCAAGTACTTCACTTTAAGGGAATTTACAGTTGGCTGCATAAGCTTAGGGTAATGACTGAGCATAGTTGTTATTACATGAAACAGACACTGAGATGTTTCACACTGAGTGCTTCCTAAGTGAATAGTTATGAGCAAGACCCAGTACATAGGACAAAGATGAAACCTCTGTGAAACCCAGCACAAACAAAAGTAGGAGCCCACCCAGAAAAAGAGAACAGGAAGCTCTGAGAAGATCATTTTTCTTTGTGAAACTGCCTGTAAGCAAGGACAGGCTTATTAACGTCATAGTAAGACTTGTAATTTCATAATAGATGTATATAACTTGTGTATAAATACACAAAAGGTTGAAGCATCCATTCATTAGAGTATATTCTGTAATTAATGCAGCATGATTTTTCAGGTTCTACAGGTCTCCTTGAAATCAACTGAAATCAGAGATTGAGTTATAGATTGTTAAAAACCAGACAAACAAACAAACAAAACCCAAACACAAACAAAACCAAAACACAGAAAATGAAGTTTGACCTTGAAGACCTTGCTTAACCTTTGTTGTACACCATGTTATGAGATCTCTCCAAATTCAAGTGTTTAAGTAAAGTGGATTCCACAAAAAGATTACATCTTGACTTAAGAAATTAAGATAGAAATCAATCACAGTCATTGATCAGGTGTGTGATCATGGTTAGAATTACTTCCATTTGAAATTCTTCTGTCTTTGACTTACAGGTATTGAACCCATTATATCTTTGCCTACTAGATCAAAGGTATGTCTATGATGAAATTTCTGTTCCCCATGAGGTTTTTTCAGCTGTAATCAAATCACCCCTTAAACCTTCTCTTTGATATGTTAAGTAGGTTGAGCTCCTGGTCTATCTTGGCATAAAGCATGTTTTCCAACCCTTTAATCATTCTACTCTTTTCTGCACATTCTCAATTTTTTTAACATGCCATCTAAATTGAACTTTTTATAGTATTCCAGTGGTGCTAAATACAGGGGTAACACTGTCTCCTAGTCAATAATTTATTTATGCAAACAGGATACTATTTAGCTTTTTGGCTGTAGAGTTTTAGTTTTAATTTTTCAGAGTCCTGGCTGCTCCAAAGCATCTTAGGTGCTTTGCTGAAGGCCTTCCAACTGCATTTCTATATCTTGCCTTCGTTGCAGCTCTGCAACACTTCATGCAAGCTGCTTTGACAGTGTTTTGCAGTTTCCTTTGTTCTCCTGTTTTTTTTTTTGTTTTGTTTTTGTTTTTGTTTTTTTTTGTTTTGTTTTGTTTTGTTTTAATGTGTTTTTATTCTTATGGTTAGTACCTGTTAACACTGTTGCTACAGCATGTACTCATGGGAAGCAATTGCCCCTGTTTGAGAACCACCCCTCTTCTCCCCAGCCTGTTCTTGCTTGTAGCTTTTGGTTTATATTAGGTGACCTAATAACATGCATGTATGAGCATAAAAATGAACCAGCCATGCAGCACCTGCCCTTATCAAAAGCATGTTCCAATTAGTGCTAATAGCTCTGTAAGCAGGAAAATATCTAGGGAGTTAGAGCAGATCCTATATGGTTACTATGGTAAAAGTATTATGTGGCAATCACCTGCTGCACTAGAAAGGACACCCAGGGGAAGAGACTCACCTGGGAACCCCAACACTTCTCTTCATGGCTGTTCACTGTTTTCAGTTTTCCTTTTCCCTCTCCCTTTTCTTTTTCTCTCTCCCATTCAGTTCTTTCACTGTTAAGAGACAATGTATGCCACCAGCTACAGTCTGGTGCATGTGAACCTGTCTCGACATGAATTGTCCAGCACTGACTTAGGACAGGGAACTTAGGTTTGCCACCTCACATTTAACTGTGCTGAAGTACATTTGTTTGTCTATTCTCAGTTTGCCAAATGGCTCTGTATCAGCAGAACTGTTTAGAAAATTGTGTGATGGGAATTTATGAAAATGGAAAAATGCATCAGAATGACTACTGAGGAGGTTTCTCTGAGTCTTCCACTACTGAAGATTTTAACTAATCTAGAGGATTGAAGTCTTCTTGTGCATGATACTGATCTTATAAGGGTGGCAGGTGAGTTTGAGGAAGATGGCAACATTTAAAAGATTCAGGACAGTTGGAGAGATGGTCAGTAAAAGGGTGCTAGTCAGGCTGGAACAATGATCTGTGCAAATACAAAGTGGGAACCTAATGAGGTTAATGCCTGTAAAAGATTCAGGAGACAGGTAGGCCACAGACTAAACATGATTTAATGATGTTGCAATTGTAAATAAAGACAAGCACTAGCCTAGGATATACAAAGCAAAAGTTGTATTCCTATGTGCAATCCTTCTCCTTTTAGCAATCTAATCCACTTAGCAGGCCTCATGTGGAGGTGAAAAGCCTGGATGTGGGTACTGCACTTCAATAAAGAATGTTTACGAACAAGAAAGGATGCAGAAGAGAGATCTAGGTCTAGGAAATAAATCCTAGGAGAAAAGAGTGATAGAAAAAAGACTGAAAGAGGAGAGAACAGGGAATGGGAACATGCAAATAGTCTCTAAATACCTTTGAGACATCGATTAATGATGGAGAATAATTTGTTTTTCAGGCCTGTGGTGAAGTTCATAAGAACAATTAGCTTAGATTGTAGCAGAAAGATTTATGTTAGACCTTAAACAAACTTTTTTAATAATGAAGATAGAGAAGCACAAGAATGGATATATGGTGGTAATACTGAAGACTCCTTTTATGGATTCCTCACTGGATGTCAGTACTCTCTGAAATCTGTCAGAAATGACACATGCTGAACTTGTTTTGGGGTATATAAAATGCTTAAGACTCTTCTTTTAGGAACTCATTGGGACCTCTGTCTCTCCCAGGGAAAGTGTAGATTTAGCAGAGAGATCTGAGAAAAAGCTGTATCAACGAGAGAGACCGTGCTCTTCCTTTCCAATTCCCTGCCAGCCACTGGAGTAGGTTGATGAGAAAGAGAAAATACTTCTAACTAAATCCTTTCTAACTAAAGGTATCATCCTTCCTTCTCCTTCTAAGAACTGAGTCAGCCACAGAACATTTGAATAAGAATTATGCTGATGATACTTACTTTCATCCTCAATGTACCCCTTCCAGTCAAATGGAGCCACTGTTGAATTAACCAATGTCCCATTTTCACCAATGGTGCTGTTGAGCTGGGAAGTAATATTTGTTTCCAGAGTAAAATTTTCTGGAGGCCACTGCAGGCATTTATTCCTCAAGTTGCCCATGAACAGCTGCAGCCCTATTAGTGCAAATACACTCAGACAAAACACAGTCAGGATCATAACATCCGAGAGCTTCTTCACAGACTGAATTAGGGCTCCCACGATAGTCTTCAAACCTGTAAATGTAAAGGAATTTTTATTCTGATATTCACAACATTTTTAAAGCATAAAAATGACATCTCCTAGTAAAGTTATAGATTTCATGCAGAAGCCCAAGTAAATGACTGTAATGTCTGTGAAATAACACTTTTGTGAAGAGCTTTTTCACTTGTGAAGATGAATAAATAGCTGAAGTTCATGTTCATTTGAAACTGTGAATGGAATGAGTTGCATATATTTCAAAATACTTGTTTTAATACTAAAACAAGTGACTTTGTTATTCATGCTGTATGTGAATCTCACATAGAAGTCTTCTTTTTTTCTTCTTTTTTTTTTTTTTTTGTCAATACCTCTTGCCCCCAAACCTTTGCTATTAACAGTTTTATAACATACTAGATTTAGAATACAGTACTAAAGATCCTGTTTATCAAGAAATTCTATCAAAAATTTAATGCTATAAAACTGGAGATGGTTTGGAAATTGCAGAATTTTAAGATAATAAATCCCCCATGCAATGCCCATGCTATTCTTTATTATCTTATTCCTTTCTCTTCATTACTAAATCAACATTTAAAACAGTTCTATTTTATACACACAAAGATTCAAAACAAGTACCACATAACATCATGTAGGTAAAATACACATGGGTAAGAAAACTTCAGGGTAACTGATATTCATTGAATGTGGAGAAGAAAGCTTGACATCGTAAGATGCAAACCACACACGCTGTGTACTGCAATGTCTCATGCAAGAATCCGTTAAACTCAAAGGCTGATTTCAAAAGGAAAGAGCTCATGTTAAAAAGCAATGAATCAGAGATCTCAGTGAATTCCAATATCTTCTGATTCCTGCTTTTTTTTTTTTTTTTTTTTTTTTTTTTTTTTTTTTTTGTGGAAAGAAATAAGGATTATGTTTAAAAAACATGAATTCAGTGAATTAAATTCAGCCTCAGTGTTTAACCTAGCTCTCACCTGGAATGACTGATATTGTTTTCAAAGCTCGGAGAACTCTGAATGTTCTCAACGCTGAGACATTGCCCAGGTCCACAAACTCTGTCACATATCTGTAATAGGGGAGTTCACACACAAACACAATGACAGGATAAAAAGGAACAGTTGGGAGGTACAAGGGGCCTAACACCTTACACCAGTTACTTCTTACCTGGGATTACAGAAATAGTTTTCAAAGCTCTCAATACTCTGAAAGTTCGAAGAGCTGAAACATTGCCTAGGTTTACAAATTCTGTTACATACCTGTAGGATTAAATCACAGTTATTCAGAATTTAGGCAAAGTTTATGCTACTTACTTGGGTCTTTCATCAAGACCGTTTTGGCGTTTTTAGCAAAAAAATAAATAGCAACAGTCAGAGGTTTACCTTTCACTGCAGTTTGCCTTTCATTAATATGCTTTCAGAGCCTTCAGTTAAGTTAAATGTCTCTGAAGTGAATCACAGTGATTTAACTTTGAAAGCCTAAATTTTATCTAAACTAGATTGGTAAATTTGTAGAATGAAGACAAAGGGATGATCCTTTTCTGCTCAGAGGAAAAAATGCAGGACATGAAATTAGCCTCTCTAATACTAACTGGACTAATGGCTTCTGCAGTATTTATGTTTACATCAAAATATGCATATCAGAATGTGAAAATTGTTTTAGATAAAGCAAATCTGTACAAGAATTTCCATTTGACAAAATTGATATGTATTGATACTAATTTCATGCCCTTTTTGGCCTTCACTTTCAGAAAAAAAGCAAAAAACAAACACTTACGCAAAGGTAATGACAGTGAAATCAAGCCAGTTCCATGGATCTCGAAGAAAAGTAAAATCTTCTAAGCAAAAGCCCCTTGCAATGATTTTTATGAGTGACTCAAACGTGTATATTCCAGTGAACGTGTACCTGGAAAATATTAGAAAATTTAATTTAAGTAACAACATTTTATATTTGCATTCTGCTAGAAATATTAAAATCAAATGTTTTTTTTTTTTTTTTAATTTCAAAACTGGAAAAGAAAGCAGTAAATAAGCAGTTTCTTCAAAAATACATTATATTCATTGTACATATTTCTGTATTTATATGGATTATTTGTGACATGTTGACATGTTCAGGACAGTGGTCCTGATCTTGTGCATAAATCAAAAGAAATAAAACTACCAAATAAATGACATATATTAAAAATTTATCTGTGACACGGTTTAAAATTATACAATGCTAGATATGTTACTGTAACCCAAGAATGTTTTGAACATAAGATACTGGATACTGTCAGAATCACTAACGTCTAAACCATCTAGTAGTAAGTCTAGAAAAGGAAGAATACAATCATGCACTAAAGTCTTACTTTAGGAATACTTTTGCTTAAATGCTGTCCTTAACTGACATCTACAAATAGACAGACATGGTTCTGCTATTAATGCAGTGGTGTAAAAATGTGGGGTAGATGCTAAAGCATGAAGAGAACATGATAAAGAGATGAAGAGAAGATGCTAAAACATGAGAGAACTAGTGGAATCCAAGTACAACAGTATCTGTAAATAACTATCATTTTTCTTCTTCTTTTTTTTTTTTTTTCTACCCAAATGTTCTCCAGATGGAGTTTTGAATAATTATTCAACATTACTACATAGCTGAGAAATGAAACAGTATCTCATGATATTTCCAGCCAGCACACATGGCTGCAGTTATTGGTATATTGTGTCCCTGAGGAACAGAGATATGGCTATCTTTAAATAATATATGCAACTTACTCTACATTCTTTGTCCAGTCCGGAGGGTTACTCATGGTCATAAATACGCAGTTGGTCAAAATAGTGCACATGATAAGCATGCTGAATAATGTAGATAATAGTTAAGGAAAACACAATAGTAATACGTGCAATATCATATCAGCCATCATCCATTTTAAGTACAGCAAAATATTGCCATTTATGCTAGCCTGAGTAGGTCAAAAACTGACTCAAAATAGCCACATGAGGGCAGCAAAAACTAAGTAATACAACCCATTTTTGCCAAACGATTAATTTTTCCTCTAGGCATCTCTCTAAATGATGTGTTCTTTGAAAACAGTTGCAACAGAAGATAGTTTAAACTAAAGAAAGCAGTTTACAGATACATAAGTTGTATATAAGAGCCCAGAATTTAAAAATATCTTTTACAAAATTAAGTGGATAGTATTTTGTGGTTTGAGGTATATTTTCATACTTTTTCATACTTTGGACAAAACCCAAAAAACAACAACAACAAAAACTAAAAACAAACCACACAAGCTTCACTATAGGTGAAAGAGGAATAGGAGAAGTAAGAGCTCAGCCTAAATTTTACAGAAAAGTGGTGCTACCATTAAGATCATTGCTTAAAGCTGCTGAACCATTCCAAATAGAACATATCTTTTTGACTCAACATTGAAATCACAGGGAAGGATTCACCATCCTGATTCACATAGATATGCTGGTGACCTTTGTCTAAATTGCTGAACAAGCAGTGAACACTGTGATATCTTTATTTAAGTGACTTAATTCATGTTGAAGATCATGTTGCCATACAAGCTCTGAATAGTAAAAATCACTGTTCTGTGGCTTAGAATAATTAATTACAATGCCCTGAAGTGCCTGTCCACACAGTCCACAGACAGCATTCGAGATTCTGAATTAAGATAGTTGGGAAATTCCATTATAGAAAGAGAGTTCATTTTGGTTGTGGAAAAACTTGGAGATGCCTGTCTGTAGCTTCAGTTGTCTCATAAAACAAAATACATAAAATGCAATTTGATATATTACACTCCGGTAAATAAAAAACAATATTCTCACTTTTGGGATGTTCTTAAGAATAATGTATCAGTAATTACTATGTGAAAAAAATAACAGAAACCTCAGCACGAATTGGTGGAATAAATACTATCCATTCAGATTATATTTTTGGTGATAAACACATATGTTTGATGCTGAACTAAAAAGAAGGATATCATGTTTCTTACAGGGCTAGACAAAAAGCTCTACCACCATATATATCACATACCACAAAAACTAATTTAAAATAATGTTAAGTCACTAATGGCTGGCATTCAGAAGTCAGGAATCAGACTAAAGAGGGCCTATACAACTCATTTAGTGGACAGGGTGGACAATGCTCTCTGAACAAACCAGAAACATGCAACAAATTAGATTTGTCTGTAGGATCTCTTCCTTCTTCATCCTATATCCTCCAGGTATGTAGCAAATGAAGTACCTTCAAAAATTATTCACCGAATCCTTATGAATTCCAAGAACAAGGTTGGGAGATAATCTTAGCAGTTAAAGCATTTGAATGTCCTCTTAGGAGAGCCACAATTCTAGCCCTGTGTAGTGTATTGTATGTTTACAGCTATCTATCATTCATAACGAAGGCCACAGGCAGGTTTTTGCATGTCGCTCACTCTCTGTACATAACTCACCATGTGTGTTTGCTGCACGGTCAAAGTGCTATTCTCTCTCAAAACAAACATCCTTTGAAATCCTAACTCTCACCAGGCTTTCCCACATTTGAATCTCCAATGTAACTGGTACATTCAATGTCTGTGCCACTTTTCCCTTTTCTCCTGCATTTGGAATATTTGACTTATTACCTCAACCTTCCATTATTTTAATATTTTATGTTGTACATGTAAAAATTATGTAAGAATTTAACTATACACATCTGTAAACAATTCTGATTATAGTGGCTTCTTCATGTATTTTTCACACTCGTCTTATACAAGCAAGGATTAGTGTTAAAGCCACTGCACAGCCTTGCGCTAATCAGTTACTGCAGCAGCCGAAGTCTCCTATCAGCTGTGTGGACTTTTTGGGAGATGGAGATTGGAAAAAAAAGATATTGCCCATTGGTTTCACAGACAGCTGCAGTCAGGAAATGCTGAGTAACACAGTAATTTCATGTTGCAGAGGCTATCATAGGAGTACTTAGCAAGGTACCACTTTTTCACTTGAACATCTCCTTGTTCCTTTCTAACACTCCTTGCACTCTGCAGTTCCAGCCACTGCTGCCTGCCTTCTTTGTCTGCAACCTCACCCCCCCCACCACCCCATTCTAACCTTTTCATCCTTTCCTATTCATTCCAAAAGTCTGGCCATCCTCCATCACTCTTGCATTGCCCTCTCAGTTGCACACTCTACCTTGACTTGAGTCAAGCAGGCAAGAGGAGAGGAATAAAAAAGGTGACATACCAGGAGGTGAGTCAGCAGAGAAATTCATGCTGTTATCACTTCCTGTGTTACAATGAATATCAACAGTGAAGAAGAACAATTGCAGAAGTCTCTGAACACCAGGGAGAGACACACTGTGCTTCTGTGCTGGGACAGCAACATCTGACCACGTGTGTGGGCACATGTGATCAGAGCACCATACACAGAGGTTCAGAGAATTTGGAGGACATGCAGATGGAGGTTCTCCAAGATGTGCCCATTTCACTATGCTCAAAACATCTTTCATGTTGAAAGCAAAAGGCACAGATCTTTTACAGAGGCCACAATGCTTGGCCTCTTCCTCAAAACATCAGGGCAGGGGGATTATTATTGATAAACGTCACAAGATTATTAAAAATAGTAAGCCACACTACCCTCTAATCTTTTTCTTATAAACTAACCTTGACAAAATATGAACATCTGAAATTCAAACTTTATCATAGAACATATTAAGTGGTTAAACACATTAATAGTTGCAGTGTTTGCACTACACTGAACTAATAAATAAATAAATAAATAAATAAATAAATAAATAAATAAAAAGGAAAAAAACCATGCATCCATCCTTCTATTTAAGAGAAAACAAAAAAAATCTATTTCTATAATTAAGATAAAAATAGCTTCAATTTGATAGTGTTTGGCTGCATTTTCTCACCATCACCGCCACCATGTCCTCAGGTCTGTCAGGTCCCTTACTGTCACCACCTGCTCCCTCACTCCTCTCCAGGCACTTTCCTCTCCTCCTCTCACTGCTTTAACTTCCAGAGAGCTCAGAGGTAAAGGTCTCATGAGCAGTCAGCCTTGTTTCTTACTCTTTCCCAAATACCTACAAGATTCCACCAGCAGTCTCTAGAACAAGACTTCTGCCTTTGACTAAGTGCTCGCTGTTAAAAGTTTTACTATCATATTCAAGTTTTCATTTGGTGGCTACTTTTCCCAGTCCTAGAGTTTTGCAAGAAAGTTTCAGCAAAACATCACTCTCTAGAAACATGCATCAACCGTTATAAACATCAGGCACCAATCTCACATGCCAGACTAAAACCTAATCTCGTGCACTGTCCCATCAGTTACGGTCCCCCAATCTGTCCACCAGCTGCACATACAAATGCACTGCAAACTGCTTGCTGGATAGCTACCTATGCTTTCTGGCAGTGTATGAAATTTGGCAGAAGCATATCGTGCAACTGAGCAAGTTTGTAAGTGTGAGAAGCCTGGTGAGAACCAGGCTTCTAGGCATGCTACTGCAACAGAGATTAAAGCTGTTTATCCGGATGGCCTTAGAAAGACCCTTAAAAGGTAGGAAAAACTTAGACCTGAGATAGCTGTTCCTGAGTAGCTATTTTCCTGCAAAACTCAGAGCTTTTCTGGAATTTGTGAGCACAAATAGTTTTTTAATACACATATATATATACATATATTATGGATAAGCTTCATAGCACAAAAAAGAGTCAGAAGCATTTAATATTAAAGTTAATCTGAAGAAAGTTTTCTGAAAAATTCCTGTAAATTCAAATTGTCTATGACAAGAATGTTTAAAAAAAATGAAAAAGATTTGAAAATTAAAAGATCAGTGATATCTCAAATCCACCTGTAAATTTCAACAGCAGAAGTATTGAAATTCTACAGGATAGATAAAATATATCTATATGATATACAGAAACTTCCTAGTATTTATAGAAACTTAACATAAGACTTATACTGTAAAATAAAATTAAAATTAAAAGCTTATGGAAAACTTTTATTTACAATGAAATAGAAAGAGATATGTTTTTTCTTACTTTTTGTGTAACATTTTGAACCACTATTGAAAAGGATATGAATGTACCAAAATTTTAATAGCTATTTTTCTAAGAGGATTGAAGGGAGTTAAAATGTACAGGGCAGAGGTGGCACTGAATCGGAAGATTGCCTTCCCTTTATTCAATACTATAAAGGTCTGAAAAAGAGGAAGAAAAGACATTTTATAAGACATTTTATATTCAATATAAATGCTCATTTAAAAACCTTTCCTAGTGACAATCACCAAAATTATAATTTTTTGAATAGCCAGTACACCAAAAATGAGTCATTTTCAAAAGAAGGCTTATTTCCTGTACTTACCTGATGTACAAAAATATAATTTTAAATACAAAACATTTAATTCACTAACATTTCTATAATACTGCTTTGTTTAACATCCTTAGTATATGATATATTTACATGATCTGTTTCTTGTAAAAAAGATGCAGAAACAATTAACTAAAATTATAATTGTAGTTTTGGGTTTTGGTTTCCCATCAAAACCTCTCTCTTCCTGTTCAAAATACCATAAACAGGGAAACTTTACCTGTGGATGTTAATGAGGTGTTAATAAGAGAAATCCTTATACAAACTGGTTTAGTAGACTGCCCATTCCTTCTCTCTCTCTCTCTCTCTCTTTTTTTTTTTTTTTTTAAATTCTAGTCTGTTTCTTGGTCTTTGTGCTAAAGAGAGAGGGAAATAGCAATAAGACATCTAGCCATGACTAGGCAGAGCTCTGAGGACTGTGGACATCTGAATGCACCTTACCAGAGGAGAACAAGAGACACATCCCAGATGACCTCTCTGCAAAATTGTGGTTTGAAGGTGTGAATCTTCCCCAGAACACACAGAACTTGTTAAATTTTATTTTAACAGCTAAAGAGCCTATCAAATTTAGAGAAACTTGAAAGCATGCAAGCCTTGCTTCAGAGAACTGATGATGACTTTGTGGGCCTAAAAGCTTGTATGTTTTTCTCAAATAAATCCATGATCCAAATATGAAATACTTGAAGGCAAACCCTATAGACATTGCTTTGCTTACACTGCAGTCCATCATGGCCGCAACAACATAAACAATACAGCACTAGAAATGTGGACTGTCAGGTTTCTTTTTGATGCTCAAGTGCTCTTCAGTTGCATGATCAATCAAAAGAGAATGAAAAACACTGCAGAGGGAAGGATCAGTAAGTTGGAAGAGATCTGCATGCTGTGGAAGGAATGATGCAAGGATTATGGCCTAAATTCAGGTATTGAAGAATCTGGCAAAGAAAAAAAGTCTAAAATTGCTTTTTATGTTTTGTCAGAGTTGTACGTTTCTTGGATCAGCTACGGTAAAGCCTCCTTTTTATCATTACGTTGCTGAAGAAGTGAGCTGTAAACTAGGATGCCAGTGGAAATGTGGGAAAGGATATTTTGATCTTTTTTGGTATCTGTGAGGTCAAGTTTCACTTCAAGACTATAGGCAAGTGGACTACAAAACTATTTCTGGGAAGGCCATTACACCGAGAAAATATACCAAGGAGGTTCAAGAAGGATGATTCTTTAGTCTTCTTATATTTGGGAAATTTAGTATTTATGGATCATGAAGTATGGATACCAATCTCTAGGAACATCCAAAAGGAGGGAGGGAGACAGGGGTTTCTAACAGTCTGTGGTGGGTACCAAGTACTGATAGCAGAGAAATCAGGGATAATCCCTGAGGAAAAGTTAGCCCAACTTGCTGGCTTCTTCCCTGAGCTGATTCTCTGTCCTGGGTCTGCACAACACACCTTCCAATAAAGACCAAATCCCTTAATAGTAAGGGTCCTTAATCTTCACAAGTACAAGCTAAAAATCTGTAGGAAAGATTAAGAGGTGTATTTGTTTTCTCTGCTTCTGCACAGAAATGGAGAATCTGCATATGAAACTGACAGCAATGGGATAAAGCTCGAGCTGATGTTCCTAAATTATATTTCCAGTTACAGGTAACAATGACCTTTCAAGGGTAACAGGGTTTGACCTTAACTGAAGATTTCATTTTAAATATTGAAGTAACCAAGCAGATGAATGATGTTCTTTGGTACAATATTCTGAGGGGAGGCAAATTTCCCCTCTCAGGTCTGTCTCCGGCCCCCAGACCTCACAGCTCATGCTCCCAGCTTCCATAGCTATGAGGTAGTTGACAAAAAGCACTAAAAATCACACACCCTACCAACTTTGCATCTAAAACTACACCACCTACATTTAGTCAACCTACATCTTTTTAAAAATCTTTGAACACAAGCATATTAAACATACATCTCTTTCCTAACATGCCTTATGGAAAATAACAGCATGCTGGCACTGCTCCAGTTTCAGTCGGAAGCTGCTGCTATTTTAGCTGTTCTACTTTCTGCTGCCCTGCATAAGCAGAACCAACAAACCTTAAATTTCTTATCTCAGTTCTGATTCTTCACCCAAAACATCTCTGTGATGGGAGCCTTGAGAATGACTCTGTTGGTCCTCTGATTTTTAGCCTTAAATACGAACTAAAATTGTATCTCATCTCTGACGGAGAATTTTCCTAAAACATGCAGGTAACAGCTAACATCCAATCCCTGTGTAAGCTTCCCTAGTGAGTCTGTGATATGGCACCCCAGTCCCAGCCCAGATGCAAGCCAGTGTGTAGGCATTGTGGATGAACATGAAGCATTGCACCCAAAGCTGCCAATACAAAGCAGGCATACACCGAGAAAAGCTAAATAAATTCTAAATAAATTATAAGATTAAGATCCGTACATTAAGGATTATGTATACTTTCCAGGGCTTAGGTTTTATAAAGTGCTTTAATGATTTTATAAAGGCAAAGAGCCTGCTCACACTCAAAGTATGCCGGTGTGGATATTAATTCAGTGAAATCCCTAAAGAGAAGTGTCCAATTTGCAGCTTTTGTGTCTGTAACCTGGGTCCCAGCTCTGTAACTTCTGTCATATTTGATCTGAACCCAGACACCGCATTCTTTGCAGGGCAAAGAAAGAGGAAGAGTATTTTGACAAGATACAGCTAAGAGGGAAGAATCCACACTGAACAAAAACATAGACTCCGAGAACCTTTCAGGACAGAGAGTTCTTTAAACCTTACTTCTCCTTTCCTTCCCCCTGGTTGACTTCAAAAGTAGTTTCTGGAAGGCTGAGTGCTAATGCATTGCATTTCCACTTCCCACGGTTAGATAAACACCATCTAAAAACTCATAGCACCTTCTGAAAGGCAAGTGGTGACATATTGTTGTGCTAGTAACTTATATTCACAGCAAATGGTTTCCTGGGGAAAGCCCTAGGGACAGCTAGAACAAAAGACTCATGGCATATTTGAAATTGGCATTTTCTTGTTTTGTTTTTATCTTTTCAAACAATTTTATTCTATCTAGACCCTATTTTTTTTTGCTTTGCTAGAACTTTTCAATTCAAAATTATTTCACTTAAAGCCATCTACAATATCTAAAATCATTAGTGCTTTCACCTTTTCTGATGTAATGAAGTTAAGTGATTTTACAGGCTCTTTGATTCTGCAAGCCAAGACAAGTCTGGGACTCCCAGGAGCTAGTGGTTTGATCAGATTAGGTGACTGATATCACCAAGTGCCAGGACAAAAGGCGACACCTCTTCTGAGGCATACCAATCAATCAACATCCTTCCGGCAAGAGGCAGGGCATGCAGTGGCAATCAGCAGCAATGCTAAATCTACATTATAGAAAGAAAGTGAAGTAATTCCCATTTAATTCCAACTATCATTTCCCTCCTCTTTAATGTGTCAGCCTAGCTTAAAGACAAAATAACCTGCCCTTAAAATAGGGAACTAAGTGGACCAGATTTTGATGCATGCCTGTTGGTCAGATCTTCAGGGATTCCAGCTGACCTTTTCTCTATAGATAGCAGTGTGAACCTCCTTGATCCTTTGTGATGGCAGCTTGAGCATGGACAGGCAGTCACCATTGTACCAGGAACACACAGATTTGCTCTTAAACAGAAGAGGAATGTAAAAAGCAGGTAAAATTCATGTTCATTTTTGCTCTATTTTAGACAAAATAAAGAGTATTGCAATGACTTAGAATGCTAAACTTAACAGTTCTAACAATAGGCATTACTGAGCACCATGGTCAATAGCGCTTAATTATAGTAAAATCATAAGAATATAAGAACTGGTATTATATTATAATAGAAGAATTATGTTCCCAGCGTACAGTTGCTGACATTCAGGCTATCTGGAATACAGTGTAAATCTATACTACTATCAGGTGTGTGACATTGCTATAATAGGCTGTTCTGTTGTCAAACAGAGGTCATCTGTTTTGACAGATTTTTTGTTTTTGCCTTTCAACTTCAAATTAATATTGGGCATGAATACATCCTCTTTGGTTGTTGGTTTTACACACCCAAACAGAATGCTAGCACACCTATCTGTTTATTTCTATTAACAGGTTTTCTATTTTCCATTTCTAATCAAAGACTACCTTATCCAAAAATTAAGGCTCTCATACCAGCTCAACACAGTTATTTATTCCTGTCTAATTGTGGATTAGCCTATATAAAATCATGACATGTACAAACCTATTGCTTAAGAAAAGAGTCCCAAAGATGAAATGTGAAACATTCTAGATGCTGCAAATTCCAATTCATGAAAAAAATAATAGTGAATTTGTTCAATCTTGCTACAAAATTGAAAATTGCTGTTGACACATTTGCACCTCACTACTTTTACAGTGTAAGGAGGTGATCTGGAAGAATGCATTTTCAAATGGCAGCTTTCAACATTAAGCAAGGAGGGACACTCATTTTTGAAAAAAAAAAAAACATTTCACTGATATTGGAAAAAAAGTGGTGATTCCACAGAACTTAGAACTTTTGGCAAGAGCTCAGCTCTGCTGGCCCATGATATCCTGAAAACAGGAAAAAAAAAAAAAAAACAAACAAGCAAAAAACAACCAACAACCCAAAACCCAAGAAACAAATAAACAAAAGCAAGCAAGAAACCAACCCCGCCCCCCCCACTGTAGTTAACAATTTTTATACCCTATTTGCAAGTTTGGAAGTCAAACTTATATAGGTTCTGCAGATAAATCAGATATTGTTTATGATATATGTTAACAGAGTTGTGAAGCAACAGTGGCATCTGCTAATCCATACACTTGTCTTAAATATTTCTTGCAAATACTTATTTCCTTCATTCTGTAGTTTCTCTTTAAACCATTGTAATTTCAGATAGCTTCCCCAGGCAGCAGTTTATAATCTCTAATCATCAGGCAGCAGCTATCAGACTGTTACATTGGCACACTTTGTGCTGACTGACTCCTTGGCTTTAGAAGATGGAATTCAGAGAGGGGTAAAAAGAAATCTGTAAAATGGTATGAAGGTGAATGCACTGTGCATTAAGAGTCTTTTGATTCTTCATGGAGATGTTCCCTACTGCTTCAGGCTTTTCTCAAACTATTTCTCCTTCTGAGGCTTGGAGGAGCATCAGCTGCTGCCAAGATTCTCAAAAGACAAGTGAAGCAAGACAAAAGTCTTTCCAGAATTCACATATAACTATGTAAGAAAATACAGGAAGTAGATATTTTAAAATCAAATTATTTATATAAAATTGAAATAGCTGTTGAAATTTTTGTTACAAAAATCTATTTTCCTCCTGTTGAAGGAAGGAGAAAGGGAGAAATTTCTAGTGGGTGAGAAAGTTTTGTCATGTCTTTGAATGAAAGATCTGTTTCTTTTCCTATATGATAGAAGACTGAAGCACATAGTGGAATGTGCCTAGTGGAAGTGGATGTGCAGACCAGAACGAGAGAATCCCAGCAGGAAGTACGGTATGTGTTATTTGCTGACAAAATTTATTTAGTGTGCAAATTAAAAGATTCTTCATTCCACATAGGCAAGATCTAGAAGCTTGATTGAATACGTTCAGATAGTTTTGCTTCATTTCTTGCACCCTGTCAGACCTGCCTAATACAGAAGCTTTTCACCTCCATCCATGAAAGGACTGAACAGGTCTTCAGTTTCTAAGGGCTCAAGAGACCTGTTGGTCATACCAAGCATGTCTTCCCCTGTGTAAGACACAGAAGACTGGTTGATTTGACTGTAAAGGTCCAGGATGCACTGTGGGCAGGTAGGGATATAATGATGCATGATTTTTGTATCATAAACAGACAGACACAATTAGTATGGAACTCCACAAGGCCTGCTTTTACAGAAACAGATCTTTTATCTTTGTAAAAGTAGAGCTGTGATTTAAAGATAAAACTTCGTACACTGTGAATGGCAGATAAAGGCACTTTCAGAGGCATCAAATAATAAAGATAAAAATATTGTTCTTTCACATAGTATTTTCTCTCTTGTCAAAACAGGACTCATAAATCACATAAAATTTAGCAAGCTAAAAGACACTTAGAATACAGCACACTGTGCAAATCAAAATAACTCCTGTCTTGATATTTATAGAGTTTTCATAATCACAGTATCTAATAATTAAACTATCACCCAAGCTAGCTATCACTATGAGCTGTAAAGCTTTTCTGCTGTACACAGACTGTAACAGAATCATCCTGGAAGGACTGCAGAGTTGTTCAAGGCCAGTTACAACAGAAACTTTAAAAGCAGCTTTACACTCTCCTTATGATATTTCCCACTTATCCTTGCATTTCTCTGATTCCATATATTTCCCTAGAATTTGCTACCAAAGCAGAATCCTGGGACCAAATTGTATTATAGATTGGTTCATGCTGTCATTTTTAAATATAAAGAACCTCAGAGAAAGTGTGGCATATCCCTGTACTTAGTTTAAATAAGTCCTTACTTTTTTTTAAGTTTGCAAAGTATTTCATTTATAATATATGCACTTTTTTGTACATACTATATTATTACACTTAGAATCCTTACATTTATTCAAAACCAAAGACTACTTAGTATGTTTCAGTTTTGATGTTCATATTAATTCAATTATATCAAAGGATATAAATCTGTATAAATTTTAATGTAAACTAAAAGAAAACAATGAATGGTTAATAACCACTAAGGAGATGGGTTGCGTCCTGTGCCATAGGGGACAGTGGGCACTTTGCTACTGATTTAGAGATCAGTGTACAGGAGAATAGATTTAAATTCTGTTTATTTATACCCTATTGTTTAACCAAATTATGCAGTCAGTCATCATGTTACATTTAGTGCCATTTGATAAATTCGAAGTTAAAAATCATACTTTTTAAAATGCATCCTTCTGTAGAGGACTCATGAAGGGCACATGAGGCTAAATTTGTTCTAAAACATGCATTAGCTAAAACAACTTTGTATAACAAGATATTAAATATTTATTACTACCTTTCTGGAAGGTGGAATGTGTATATGTCACTGGCATCTAACACTTTCTGCTATTGTATATCTAGCCCTTTTAACAATGCTCAGCTGTTTCTGCATTATTAGAATGACATTTTCCTACATGGTTGTCAGTTAACAGATGAAGAAACAAACTATATTATCCACAGTAAGTAAATGAAATAAACATGATGAAGCATTCCAAACATTGTCATATGAACAGGATTGATATTAGACTCACTTTTTTATTGATATAATATGGGTCCATGTCTTCCAAGGGCTCTGACACCATTCCTGGAGGTATGTCGCCATATATAAATGGAAGTGTTTTTCCTGCCTCCAAATCACTGTTTGGCTTTGGCCCATTTTCATCATCATTGTCTTTACGATCTTGTTTGGAATTCTTAGCTTTTTCTGCAGCAATACGTTGTTCAATAGCTGCAAGAGACTCTCTAGTGAAGTATTGGAAGCTGTCTGGTCCTGGTGGTACAAGCACTGGCTGCTCCATCTTTTCATCCTGCACATTTTAATTAGCATTCACTCTTCTGCATAGGAAAATTCTAAAAGAAAGCAGAAAATAAAATTTAAACAAACATGTTACAATCACTGAGTAAGAAAGATATAACATTTATTTTGAAATGCTTTTGTTTATGCAATATGTGCTTGTAGCCCAGAAAGCTGACTGTATTTGGGGCTGCATCAAAAGAAGCATGGCCAGCAGGGCGAGAGAGGTGTTTCTCCCTCTCTACTTCACTCTCATGAACCCCCCAGTAAAAGAATGACATGAACCAGTTTGAATGAGTCCAGAATGTGTTTGAATGTGGCCAATGAAGCCACAAAGATGATCGGAGGGCCGGAGCATCTATCCTGTGGAAACAGGCTGAGTGAGTTGGGGCTGTTCAGCCTGGAAAAGGGAAGACTCTGGGAAGACTTTATAGTGGCCTTCCAGCACACCTAAAGGGGCCCTACAGGAAAGCTGGGCCTGTAAGGGAGAATGGTTTTAAACTAAAAAAAGGGAGGCTTAGATTAGATATTAGGGAGAAATTCTTTACTCAGAGGGTGGTGTGTACATTGCAGCTGAAATACATTGCAGCTCAAAAGAATAAACCTGATGAAAGAAAAAAAAAAATCCTGTTAAAAATTACAGATCCAACATCTTTCATGCTGCTGAATAATTTTCTGATGACATCAGACATAGAGATGAAATGCATAATTGGACACACGATGGAGTATATTTCTCATGCCTGAATTTCATGAGGTGACTTCACTCTCTACCCATTGCTGGGGTGTTTGAAAAATGATTAGTCGACCTTTCAGGAGAGTGAAGGATCAATGCAGGTCAGTACACTTCAAAATAAGCAAGCGAATGACAGAGAAGTAAGAATAAAAGATGTGGCTGGGAGGGGTTCATATTGACACAGATAAAAACAAGATAAATAAAAACAGAAGTTAGAGAAAGAAGCTGAAAAAAAAAAGAAAATAGGACAGAAATGGAAAAAAGAGAAGACAGCATATCAGTGGGGAAAGAATTAGGAGAGTGAAGAATGTGAAATGGAAAAATTAGGGAGAATGGAAGATTAGAAGTATAAAAAAAAAATGTAGAGCTGAAAACAAAGAAAAATTGTAAAGTAGTAAGTAATAAGCCCCCAAATCCTGTAGATCATTAATGCCAGGGTGAGCACAACCATCTTAAACACACAGAACAGATGTATTCAGCAGTGGAACGCAGTAGATAAATTATGAAAGAGGGGTCAAAATAGTTATGGAATCTGCAACCCATATTTCACCGAGGTGTATACAATCATTAGCTACAATCAGAGAAAGAGATTCTAAAGAAATAAGATTTTTCTTTGTAAAAAAATTAAAAAGGTGCTGATCTACTCGAACCCAAGGTATTAACCCATGCAGACTGTATCCAGAATCAGTTCTCTAAACCTAAAAGACCTAACCTCTTTAAACCTCTAAACCTCATTTCTAATCCTAAAAAGAATCAGCATCTTCCTTCTTCTTTCTCCATTAAGGGTAAAATGGATACAAGTGTACCTGAAGCAATAAGGATTTAAAACCTTCTCTTCCTCTACATAAATAGCATTCTCCAGCCATTCTCCAGATATTCCTCAGCTCCCCGTTTTATGGTTAGGTTTACTTCTGGGAATCAAAAATTCAAGCCCCTAATTACTGAACAATTACAGACACGCGGTTCGCATGCTCTGTCATTAGTTTCTAATATTCAAAAACACACCGTTGCTACTGAGGAAGAAACATAAAAACCTACAATCAGGCTTTTCTCTTCTCAGTTTATTTTAAAAAGGAAGAGACAAAGGGCCAGATTTCTTACCAACTTCTCTCCCTCTGGAGTGAATGATGTATCAGAGATTTTTTTTTCTCTTCTACATCTTCATTTGTGTTTCATTGACTTTCTGATGTGCAATGTATTGGTAGGCAAAACACTTCAAATTCTGTAAAATAAGGTACTTGGAATTTTTATAGAATAGAATCATTGTGTTTCTTCTGAATTTTCCCCGGTGACATATATTTGTATATACTTTGCAGTGTATGGATTGTTTTAAGAGAATTAATTCCAGAGCACACTCAATATACTCTGTGCACAGACCATCTGTAAACCACATTCAGAAGTCTGAAGTTGTTCAGTTGCATCTGTGCTATTGCACAATGTTGATCTGCCCATGCATATTAAGTCTGAAGCATCTAGAGCTACACTGGATTAGCTACTCACACAACTACCATCTGGGCAATATACATGCAATTAATTCAGCACTTCCATGATGGATCTGATTTACTGTACACCTTACGTAGTCATAAATCTATGCATGCTTATGGAATAACTCCAGATCAAATATCCACAGAGCTTTAAAAAAAATCTAGTCTTTAAGTTTCACCTCGATAAATTTACTAGGCAAAATGAAGGGACTTGTCAGCAGATAGATGGAAAAATGGTGCCTCATCTAAAAGTGATGCCAAAACAGTTGCATGCTGGCCTATGTGGAAGTCAATTAGACTAAGCTCTCTGAAAAAGAGGCATGTTTTGAGAAGATTTTTTTTCTAATCTGAAAAACATATAGTTTACCATTAGCTGCTTTCATGATCTTCATTGACATAATAACTAACAGTAACAAAAGTTTCCAGAGAATTTGCTCAGGATGATCTTGACATACTGCAATACTGCAAATACCTGAACTTTAGTAAGCTAATTTATTTCTGTAATTGATTTATGAGCCATAATAGTGTGCTTCTATATTTGATCTTCTGTGACAACACCCCTACATTAAAATTCATCTTCCATTTGCCGTATAATTTAACGAATGTTGAGACATTGAAGTTCCAGTGGACCCTATGTGATAGAAATGTAGGATTTTGATCGTAACAGACGAGTTTAAACAACACTTATGATACAACAGGTTTCATTCATACTTCCACCTACAGAAACACCTACATAAAGTCTTCCATGATCACTTTTCTGTCAGAATGCTGAGATGAAACCTAACCTCTAACAAAACCAAACAAAAACTCTTCCTGTTTCTCCCACCCTTTGAGGCGCCAAAATTCTCAGCAATATAACTTTTAATATTAGTTAGCATTAATTTTACTCAATAAGCATGGAAGTATGACTAACTTTAAAAAAGCTGTAGCTTCTCAGATTTACTGTATAGCAATGTGCTGTGTGCCATGCTTATCTACATACATATCTAGAACTACATAGATATTAACTTTCTCCCATGGTTAATGCTGCAGGTGTGTAGACACGGTGAACAGACAAGAATGGTATTTTTGTTTTTCAGTTGACATAGCCATGTCAGCCACAACTGAACATGCAGCAAGCATGAATTAGAGAATAACTTATGTACCTTTTGGGGGTAAAACATTGCATGCATCTGAAGTACCAGTGGATTAATACTTCTGCCTCCCCCACCCTACTGTATTCAGCTGTATTCTCCAGTTTCTCAGTTTGGGTGAAGTGATGGTGAGACTAGATTTGTACCCTTCCACAGTGCAATATGAAATGGTGCAGCTCTAGTTCATCAGGGGTGAATGTATTTCCAAGATGAAGCGGAAAGATGAGTGCAAAAGGAAAGGTACTTGAGTCTTTCAACAAATGCATCACATACTCTTTTGCACTGTTACTTGCAGAATTAATGACTCACAGGACTCTTCATTATATACACCCCAAAATAAGATTTGTTACACTTAGTGATGTAAGAAACAAGTAATCTCTCACCACTAATAGAAAATAAAAATAGCATCAAATGAAATATTAAGTGATTAGCAAATGAAACTGGACTGTTTCATTGTCTGGTTAACCTTCCTTTGAATTTCAGAAAGCTACCCTTAAATGTCTGTACACACTCCTGTTTCCTCATACTATCCAGTACTGTGAAACTGATTGCTAAGGGAAAACAGACAAGAGCATTCTGCTAGAGTAAGCAGAATTTAATCTTTGCCATTCACTTTGCCCTTGCCTTGTGAAATACATTATGTTTTTGCTTTTGGCATAAACTAACAAATCAATTTTTTAAAAAATCATACATTTTACTATTTTGAAAAAAAAAAAGCATCATCATAAAGACTAGTATTAATACTTTGAATTGCAATAAGATGACATTGGTAACTTCACTTTCATTTCAACTATCAGTATATTAGTAAGGTTATCAGTGATATGCACAGGTATTGTCACCTGGCTGATTCAAGGCACAACATAACAAATCACAGCTACTGCAAATAAAAGTAAATCAGTGAATCTACATGTGAATTCACACAGCACAAAACTCTATGGAACTTTGCTTCTTATTATTTATTGGCAGAGTTTCTCTGTACTTCTGAATTATCAACTAGTCATTATGATTCATGCCTTCAGAACGCAGAATAAAATTGAATAACCTTCCACAAAGTGTAGATTTTTGGGAGGAGAAGTGGGGACGTGTTGTCAACTATTATGGCTTTATATGCGAGGCCATAGCTGAGGAGTAGACCTTCTTCCTGTCTTCACAGAAGACAAGCCTATATCTGGCCTGTTTATCTCCATTTTAGGGCTACTACAGGTAGCTCTGAAATTAGGTAGCTTATCCAAAGCAACACACTTAGCAGAAGAACAGAAATCAGATTAGGTTCTTAAGACTGCACAATTTTTTATGACTCCCTGTAGCTCATGTATAAAATTAAATTCAATTCTAATGGACAGATTTATAAAGGAAACATGCATATTATCAGTCTGATAATAGTATTCTAGTATAGTATCAGAAGTAGAATAGCATCAGAACAAGGCACATACTTATGCATTGACAAATAAGTGAATTATCTGAAATACTGAAAGCAATAAAATAACATATATTTGCTCAAGCAAACATCTGTGCTTTGCAGCTAGGTATTTCCATTATATAAGCTGATACCCAGCAAAGATACTGGCACAGGAAAAGAAACATAGAAGGGGAGCAATGAGCAGAGAGGATCACTATTTGCCACAGAGTTGCAAATAATCAAGGGTAGCTATGTGATTTAGGAAGGCAGTTTAGTGCCTCAGTCTAGACTGCCCAACAGCCAGAAAGCAGAAGACAAAGAGAGGAAATGCAGTTAATGTCTGTGATATCCACACTTTTGTATAATTGCTTAGTTTACATCTCATTACATGAGTATTAAACTCCCCCATCAGCTCTCAGAATTCAGAGCCACGATTTTCCACCAATCAGCAAAACTCTTACACTACCACAGGCAGCAGACCATCTGATCTGTCTTTGCAGTACTCATAGTGCCATCACTATGCAGGATGAAATCAAGATTTACTGGTACAGAAAGAAAGCCCTCAAGAAAACATGATCTTGGCAACTTAATGGTAAGCCTTCATTTGGGAAGGCAGTCATGGCTTCTGATCCCTGCTCCCAAAGCTATTTCCCTATTGTATCCAATAAATTCACTTGAGAAGTTGGATTAATATTGCTGGAGGTGAGAATAATAGTTGAGAAAAAAATTAAGAATATCTAAGAGAAAAGAGGGTTTAGTTGCAGTTTTCACTCCTCCACTCCTACCTCCCCTCAAACATGTATATTGTTAGTCCTTATCCATGTTTGTCATTTAGAGTAAATCAAACGACCACATGATGCGGACACAGCATTTTGTTCATCACTGTTAATTTTATATACGTGTATGCATTGGTTTGATTGCCGTTGGACTTCTCATTACATTTTTAAATTTAAGCAATGTATCTCTATAGCTACTGTGCTTTGCTTTAGATTAAAAATAAAGAGCTTGCTTCTGCTTTCTGCTTTGATAGCTTAATTCCATTAACTGCAACAAAGTCATTTCTATTTTAGAAAGCTGAAAAAAAATTGGTTATGCAGTTCCATAGAAAGAAAAAAAAAAAATATTAAAGGGACAAATCACAGGGCATCTGGATTACTACTCCATCAGAGCAAATACATTTAATAGTTTAGAACTACTGGAGTGCTACCAAGCTGAATGAATTCCATGTGTATTTTGTTCCTGCAGTGTACCTTGTGCAACAAATAGCTGCAGTACAGAGTGCAGAGAAGCGGCCTTTCTGCTTTTTTTCATTTGATCAGTAAAGGGACCCCCTCCTATTGAGAATCAACATCACCATTTTAATAATAATTTTCTCAAGCAATGTATGAAACGTTTTCCTCCATTTATCGTAGCAAACATAATAGTGCTTTTCTTTGGTTAAAAAAATAAATAAACAAAGCAATGTAGGCTATGCAGTACAAGTTATATAAATGTCACGGATTCCTTTTTTTTCAGATGATTTGCCTCTCTGAAAATTTCTTACAATTAATAAAAAATTATCACATCATTGTGACTAAAAAAAAGAAACAAACTTTTTTCAGTACACAGGCTAGGTCAAAGATAAAAAAGTAAGAAAATCTCACCTGTTTTCTGATTAGTTTTGAATAGTTTTCCAATAGAATTTGAGTTAACAATGCTAGTCTAATGCCATTTTGCACAAGCTCCCATCAAATGGACATTCATCAGACTACTATGTCTCATTCTTATGTCCAGGCACCCCTACACAGGTCAGTAGTCTTAAGACCTGACATCACTCAAGCCCTACCATCCTGTGCCCTAGAAGCTGTATAACTGTGCAGTTAATCTAGCCTAGTGAATATTAAATAAATTATTTGCACTAACAACTATGAATTATTGCAGCTAGTACACAAGCAATTGTACACATTTAGAGCTGGTTTCTGTAGCTCAACTCTGTGTTGCAATTGATATGATGTACTCCCTCCAGGCTACACATTGCCTTGATAAGTCCCTCTGGCACACCTTCTAGACAAAGCCTGTCTGCTTCCTTTACTACAAATGGCACCTATGTTTCAACAGGCCTCATAAAATCCCAGCACCAGTGCTTATTCCCACACTCACTTGTGTCTTAACAGATTCATCCCAAAACACCATACTTCTGACACTGGTGTGCAGCTCACTTGGGAAAACAGCAGCTGAACCATGTGATTCAGAAAAAAAACAGCATTCAAAGCAAGAGACACAGAGACTTTGCAGAAGTCATTAATACCATTATGCTTTACTCTGAAGAGAGTAAACAAGAGAAAAACAAAAATAGAAAAAGTAAAACAGACCTCCACTGCTATCTCTCTGAATTTCTTACTGACTCAGCTTAAATTTTGCACTTTGGCCTGAGTCATTCAAGCTCTCTCTCTTGCACACAGCTTTTCTCAAAATGGCCAGGAATAACCTTTGGTTTTATTACTCCCAGCTCCTGCATCAGGAGACCACCTGGTCATTGCCATGAGCTCATTAAAATCCATCCACTAATCTGCTGTTTAGTTATCATCCCACTTACCAGAATGAATTTTCTTGGTCATCTCCCTTTCACTAACGTGCCAATTGTCGTCCTGTGATTACATCTTGATTTTTTTACTGAAGCAATACTAAATCCAAGGCTAAAGGTCAGATTTGCTTTCTGCTTGTGCAGGTTCCCTGTGCAGCAACCAGGAAGCTGGTGGTGGGGTGAGCCATCTGGTGTACCCACAGAAAGAATTACTGAAAATGAGTTGTCTAGGTGACATGAAATGGTAAGTTGACTTCCTGTGTGGATGGGTTCTGAGCGTATTTAACTCACCCCATCCATCCATATCTGCCCTTGTGATATTCCACGAAGCTGGTGTTGAAGAGAGAGAGAAAGGCCTACGTTAATTCCCAGAAGATGCCTAGGGATTTGCAAGAAGCCTGAATTCAGATCAATAGTCTTGGTCAGTACTATCATTCACCTACAGACTGCCATCTCCCATAGAAGCTGACTCATCATAATTTGTGAGGGTGTTTTGCATAGACATGATGTATCTTAGCCCAAGAAGCATGCATTAGAATATGCTTGTAATAATTATAAGGTTTGAGGCACACAGAGGAGGAACTATATAGGAATTACTGGCTGTAACACATGACTCCAAATAATCACAGTTGGATTTAAGAAACCCAGCTGCAGTGGGCTTTGTGTATTAACATTCTCCAATCATTTCTCAAGATTTATTTCCCAGTTTTGTTGTTGTTGTTGTTGTTTAATTCTCATTTATTTCCTCCAGTGTTAAGCTTCTGTGAGATCTGAAAAGACCCTATTCTGTACTCATGATAATTTCAGTTTCATAAAGGAAAAAAATCTCAAAAATTACTAGCAGCGATGAAATCTCATTTGCTATTAAATGGTTAACTACAGGCAGCAGCAACAGCATCTGCTGCCTCCGCCACACCCTTTGAACAAAGCCTTATTATGAAAAGCATCAGACTTGCAAAGAAAGGCAGAGCCTGGGAACTAGTATTTCTGCAGAAGCAGTGGTTTGAAACCCATTGTATGAAGACTGTTAGCCACACTGACTTTTATTTAAAAGCAAAGATTTCACCTTTTTTTCTTTTAAGGCGCTGGTGAGTTTCCAGTGATTTAATATTTTATATTCTAACCCTACAATAAATATTCAGGATGCTAATTTTATTTTGAAAATATAAAAATTTAAAGATAAATAATAATACAGTCAGAAGCTACAAGTGATACAATTATAGACTATGAAATCTACTGGTATTTGTATGTTTTTTTTTTTTTGCTTTTTTTTTTTTTTCTATTTTTTAATCCTAAGGTTAATCCTAAAATTAGAGAAATGTTCTTCTTTAAAATAAATCATAATGTATATGTGCAGTACAGAGGCATTAAATGTTTAGCAGCACAGAAAAATAGTATTAAATTCATTAATTTTGCAATAAGTGTACTGAGAAAACAGACAAAATGTACATTGAGGGTGACAAAAGAATTAAAAAAAAAAAAAAGCAGAAATGAGTAAACGTCACATTATACCAAAATGTGATATAATACTCAAAGCAGAAGACCATTAATTAGAAATTTCTGGAATATAGCTAGATACTTAAAAATAGCATAAATTATACTAAATTTTGGAGCAACACACTCAGTCATTGAAATTCTGAACCATTTCTGCTACTTCCAGAAAGACCAGATCATCTACTAAGAAGCAGGCTACACTTACTTTATCAAATAAGTTCTTAACTGTGTGGTTAAAAATATGGTTGTAGTGCATATTTAGTGATTATTTTGCAAAGAAACCCTTCTCAAATATAGGTACAGAAATAGAAAAAGGAAAGATCTTCAGTTCCCGTAAATACAATTCAATGCACATAAATTGTGTAGTCAAATTATTTAAAAGAAACTGATGAAGTAATAAAAATATAAATTCAAAGGTTTCTATGTTGCTGTTGAACTGAAATTGATATAAGATCTGTTTCATGTTTTTCTGCTCGTGTGAATAAGAGCTCAAATAAGAGCAGTGACATGGTACAGGGGAGAACATTGCACACAATGGCAGCTCTAACTAAAGGCAACTACGTCTCGCAAATTCAGCTTTTCTGTTGGGGAAAATGATGCACTACCAGTTTTAAAGGATTTGAGATTGATGATTAAAATGCTTTTCAGCTTTTCTTATAATTCCAAATAAACATTTGTCTTTTTAATGATTTTAATTAACTCCTGCATTTGTGATTTAAACAGCTTCTTGCTGTTTCTAAACTATTTTTTAATGTTGTAATTGAGGTTACAGTGTTTTGGAATATATATATATATATATATATATTTTTTTTTTTTTTTCCTAAATAGTGATTTTTAAGTTAGCATAGCGAGTTATAATATCTTATGGTCATTCAATATCTTAAATAGTTTGAAGATACATGTAAATGAGAGGATTTGTCATTGTTCTCCCAGAACTCTTTACTCTGCTAACAGCATGAAAGCTAATTCTAGTCTGCCTAGATGAGAGAAAGCTTCAGCCATTCCCAGGGTAAGGTATCGATTTAAAATACAGCCAGCTGAGAAACAATGCCTGGAGGCATTCCTTAGCATGTCATTCTTGCTGCCTGATCAATGCATTTGAAGGCAGAGCACAATTTTGTGCCAGACACAGAGCTGAATAATGTTTCTGCAAATGTCATAGATACCACCTCGTTGCATGTGTATAAACCAGTGAGAAGCCAAAGGTGGGTTTTGTTGTTGTTTGTTTGTTTTAAAGAATTCCTACATGTGTTTAAGATCAGGAAGAATAATGGAAATAAATTCATTACATAAAAGATAATATCCAGTTATGAAGATAAAGTCTTTGGTATGTGAACAATGAACACTGTCAGAGAAGAAACGAATGCAACATGTAGGTCATGGCCCTAAAGAATGGAAGGGCATTTAAGGCTGAGGGAAACAGGTACAATTAAGAAGCTAAGAAATGATCTTGTTACCTTGACTGAGGCTGGGATTAATGGGGGACTTCATATACTATTATATGCATATATTAATAAGTGGAAATTACATCAAACAATCTATTTTTGAGGAAAAAGTCATTAAAAGTTATAGATAAAACAGACTTCTCTGGGTTCAGAAATTTAGAATAAGAGTTGGTTTGTTACTCCTTTTTATCCATTTTTCCATATTTATTGCTCTTAACATTCTCATTTTTATGAGATAACAGATGAACTCTTGATCCCATTGAAGCTGTTCTCAAAACATTCTATTGACTTCATTCATGAAAGTTTTGTCACCTGATTGATATATTTAAATTTTATCTTGAAGAAAAATTCTGATTTATGCTATATAAAAATGTTATTTCAGTTCAAACCCTTTGACTTACCTTAAAGTAGATGCACATTAACCTGGAGCAATACTTACCTTTAGCTTTCTTTTACATAATGAAATTTTACCACCAGACATTTATATTTGATACAATGCAGTTTCTTTTTCTGAACTTATTTTGATATTTCAGTGCTGTAGGACTAATGGATTAAAAATAATTGCAAGATACTTGTATTGATAAAAGCACTATTGCAAATTACGTAAATATACATACCCATCATTTAGTAACTTTAGTAAAATGATATAGTGTTTATAAAATCATTATTGTGGAGGTCCTCTTTCTAGTGAGAATTAGTTCTCAGGCTTTAAGTTGTGGGTTGGTAAAATGCTTTTCACATATGACGTTACAAGCCATATGACATACAATGTCAATGGAAATAGATGTTGTGAAAGTGATTGTCAGAGTGGGAAAGTTTGAGGATGGTGGCAAGGATTTAGTCTGGGGAAGGTCATAAGAAAATATATGAAAACTGCATCTGAATTTTCTCTCTCCCTTTTTCCTCTTCTTTTTTTTTTTTTTTTTTTAATCAAACTCTCCCTCTCACCTCCTGATTTTTTTTTCACCTTTCTGTCAAGTCCATGAGGATCTTGAAACAAATATTGTCTTTAAGTAAACAGGTTCTAGGGAGTGAGGTGCAGCTGTGCTCCCTCACTCCCTGTCTACTTTCATCTTCCCAGGTAGCCAGGCTTTCTGGAAGCTGAATGCTAGGTGGGATAATTTTGGGCTTTTCAGGTTCTGAAGATAGGTTTTCCGCTGAGCTGGATGGCAAGGGAGTTCTTGGGTGAACTACAGGTTGACAGCAGAAGCTTGGAGAAAGCCAGAAAGTGGGGACAGAGTTGAATGTAGCCAAAATATTCCCAAACCAGTAAAGGCCAAGATCAAAACTACCACCATTGTAAAAGACTTCATGGTTTACCATGATTGCTTAATAATTATGCGAAAGGAGAGGAGGTAGTAATTCTCAGTCTTTTTCACTTTTGTTGTGATAGAGCTGTTCAGACAAAATAGGCCACAGGACTGTGATATTTGGCAGAGCTGTCTACCAACATGTCTAAAACCAATGCTGAGCCTGTACTGCGTGATAGAACACTCAGCACATCACAAATTCCTTTATGGAACTGTGGTGTCCAAAATGCTGAATAAATAGTGCACTGGCTGAACTGTGCTCTCTCAGCATGGTCTCTGCTACCATCCTACTGTTCATCAGCACATTCCAAGAGTAAAAAGATAGAATACATCTCCAAGTTCAGGTACCTTTGTAATAATATAAACCTGATACTGAATTTAGTGAAACTAGAAGAGGGAGTGGGGAAAAAAAGCTGCTGAATAAATACCTGCATAATCCTTATATGTTTTAGTAACTATTAAAGGTAATAGTGGTGGTTATGAGAGTGTAGAACAGGAGGTATTTTTTCAGTGAGAACACGATGGTCTGATACATAACAGATGGCCAAAGCACAAGAATGTGAATAGGTACCTTACACAGCCTGTCCCAGAAACTGAAGAAACTATGACCTCTAAGAAGGGACCTCGGTGAAAATGTGGGCTATATTACAGCATCAAATCTTAATATGCTTATTTTTAAAATATATTTAATTTTTCAACTTATTTTTCTCAGGCTACTTCTGTACTATATTTTACAGAGTGCAGCCAAATCTGCATTCTGTCACAAGCTTCTCCTGACAAAATACGTATCTGTCTATACTGCCTTTTATAGAAACTCCATCTGGATTTGGGAAGCTGGTTGCTTGCAGATCTTCAAGTTTGCAGCAGCAAGTACCTTTAGGCAGATGTACCCTGTTCAGGGTACAATTTTGCTTTTGTACCTGAACAGCAGACAGCCAAGATGTAGTCATACTGAAGAATGCAGGCAGAATATACAGCTGTAGCTATTTTAGTCTCCAAGCTCCCTTCAGAAACATCCTATTCAGCAGCATATACAAAGCCCTGCTGACCCATGTTTTAATTACCTGAGACTTCTTTACACCACCTCTGCAGGTACAAAGTGTTTGCAAATTCTAGGTGTAGTGATACGTCCCAGTCTACCAATACTTAACGCAGTAGCTTGGCACATGAAAGGTGAGCAACCAAACCTAAAGGCTGCCAAGGTTAGTGGTGTCTATACTACTAGCACTCACAATAAAACCAACTCTTATATGTTTCATGAGTCCTTGCCTATGTTTTGGAGCCAGGCTATGCCTAAATCTTAATGTATTTTTTTTCCATACATATCTGAGACAGAATCTTTCTTATACATCCACAAGGTAATAAATGTCTAAGTCTCTCTTTGTTTTCTATTAAGCTTAGGAGAATGAAAATTTCCTTGGCCTTATCAAAAGAGATGCAGGGTGACTTTAGGCCATGTCATCCTGCTGTATCCATTCTCAGAAAATATAGGACCCCTTCTCAGAGGGTCTTTGCAGCCTGTTTCTTCATTATGACAAATACCTTTTTTAGATGTCAACTCCATTGGTCAATTTTCAATTTACATCAACACTGTGCTATTGAAGAAGGCTCCCAGTCACATTTAGCAGAAAAAAATATCTGCAAAGCTTTCTCATTATTGTCTTCTTAATCTATTATTTTTCAAGATATCTTCCAAAACTCTCCTGTGATTTGGCTGATCACCTACCAAAACAACTTCACCTTAGATGTCTTATTTCTGTCTGTGCCATATAACATTTTTCAGTACACTTATATAACATGCTGTGTTGGGCAGTAATTCACTTTCTTCCCATATTTGAG